CTATGTATAACATTGCCTCATTTCAGTGTCTTTCTCCTATTCCTGTGTATAACATTGTCTCATTTCAGTATCTTTCTCCTATTCCTGTGTATAAAATTGTCTCATTTCAGTGTCTTTCTCCTATTCCTGTGTATAACATTGTCTCATTTCAGTATCTTTCTCCTATTCCTGTGTATAACATTGTCTCATTTCAGTATCTTTCTCCTATTCCTATGTATAACATTGTCTCATTTCAGTATCTTTCTCCTATTCCTATGTATAACATTGTCTCATTTCAGTATCTTTCTCCTATTCCTATGTATAACATTGTCTCATTTCAGTATCTTTCTCCTATTCCTATGTATAACATTGTCTCATTTCAGTGTCTTTCTCCTATTCCTATGTATAACATTGTCTCATTTCAGTGTCTTTCTCCTATTCCTATGTATAACATTGTCTCATTTCAGTGTCTTTCTCCTATTCCTGTGTATAACATTGTCTCATTTCAGTGTCTTTCTCCTATTCCTATGTATAACATTGTCTCATTTCAGTATCTTTCTCCTATTCCTATGTATAACATTGTCTCATTTCAGTGTCTTTCTCCTATTCCTATGTATAACATTGCCTCATTTCAGTGTCTTTCTCCTATTCCTGTGTATAACATTGTCTCATTTCAGTGTCTTTCTCCTATTCCTATGTATAACATTGCCTCATTTCAGTGTCTTTCTCCTATTCCTATGTATAACATTGTCTCATTTCAGTGTCTTTCTCCTATTCCTATGTATAACATTGCCTCATTTCAGTGTCTTTCTCCTATTCCTATGTATAACATTGTCTCATTTCAGTGTCTTTCTCCTATTCCTGTGTATAACATTGTCTCATTTCAGTGTCTTTCTCCTATTCCTGTGTATAACATTGCCTCATTTCAGTATCTTTCTCCTATTCCTATGTATAACATTGTCTCATTTCAGTGTCTTTCTCCTATTCCTATGTATAACATTGCCTCATTTCAGTGTCTTTCTCCTATTCCTATGTATAACATTGTCTCATTTCAGTGTCTTTCTCCTATTCCTATGTATAACATTGTCTCATTTCAGTGTCTTTCTCCTATTCCTATGTATAACATTGTCTCATTTCAGTGTCTTTCTCCTATTCCTGTGTATAACATTGTCTCATTTCAGTGTCTTTCTCCTATTCCTGTGTATAACATTGTCTCATTTCAGTATCTTTCTCCTATTCCTATGTATAACATTGTCTCATTTCAGTGTCTTTCTCCTATTCCTATGTATAACATTGCCTCATTTCAGTGTCTTTCTCCTATTCCTATGTATAACATTGTCTCATTTCAGTGTCTTTCTCCTATTCCTATGTATAACATTGTCTCATTTCAGTGTCTTTCTCCTATTCCTGTGTATAACATTGTCTCATTTCAGTGTCTTTCTCCTATTCCTATGTATAACATTGCCTCATTTCAGTGTCTTTCTCCTATTCCTATGTATAACATTGTCTCATTTCAGTGTCTTTCTCCTATTCCTATGTATAACATTGTCTCATTTCAGTGTCTTTCTCCTATTCCTATGTATAACATTGCCTCATTTCAGTGTCTTTCTCCTATTCCTATGTATAACATTGTCTCATTTCAGTGTCTTTCTCCTATTCCTATGTATAACATTGTCTCATTTCAGTGTCTTTCTCCTATTCCTGTGTATAACATTGTCTCATTTCAGTGTCTTTCTCCTATTCCTGTGTATAACATTGTCTCATTTCAGTATCTTTCTCCTATTCCTATGTATAACATTGTCTCATTTCAGTGTCTTTCTCCTATTCCTATGTATAACATTGTCTCATAACATTGTCTCATTTCAGTGTCTTTCTCCTATTCCTGTGTATAACATTGTCTCATTTCAGTATCTTTCTCCTATTCCTAATAATTTCTCTATTTCCATTATCTTTCTCTAATTTGTCTCCTTTTCCAATTTCTTTTTTTGGCTGATAAATATTTCTTTTCCTGATTTCATCTGTAATTTTGATCATATACAAATGAATGAAGTTCACTTTGTACATGTATAATACTTAGTTGTGTGTGGAATACAGTGAAACACAGTGAAACACAGTGAAATACAGTGAAATACAGTGAAACACAGTGAAATACAGTGAAAAGTGAAATACAGTGAAACACAGTGAAATACAGTGAAAAGTGAAACACAGTGAAACACAGTGAAATACAGTGAAACACAGTGAAATACAGGGAAACACACTTGTATTTCATGACTTATAACCGGATGTATCTGAACCTAAAATAAAGAGAAAAAAATTGATAATGGTGATAAAAAATTTTGATTATATAAGATACTGAAAATCAAATTGTGTGTTTATAATGTTAATCAAACATTATTCATGTTTGATATTTCCTGTTGTATATATGTTCATGGAGTGACTAAGTACATTATCAAGATTTAGGGATGTGGTTCATAATGGGTCTTCCTGTACATGTGACCAGTTATAATCTGTCAATAACTGTAATTTGTTATTACTGTCATAAGTCAATATATATTTAATTATGGATTTACCATGTCATGTTGCTGTTTTATTGTTTGGTGTACTAAAAATATCAGTTCAATAAACAAATAAAATTGATATACAAACTGTGGACCTAGCTAGTAAAATGTTCTCTGAGCAATATCTAATTGAAACATAAAAATATTTGAAAAAGATAGTGTGTACCCTGAACAGCAATATTTTACCACAAATAAACCTTCTCCACACTTTTTCTTTTCATGTCTTCTAGGAATAGTGAGGTTGCTAGAATTTAAGACCCTACTCTCCGCTCACCGAGAATAACTCGGAAAAAAGTATCATTTTGATGTCAAATCAATGGAATATGTGTATTGTGAAATCATATGTTTTCATTGAGCTCACTTTCAATGGTTTTTCTTAACATTTCTGTTTCGAGACCACTTGAGTTCATAAGTATACTTATAATACATTCATGGATTTAGAGTGCCCACCAAATCCCCTACAAAAATTGATGATTTTACAGGAAGTAGTTTTCATCAATATATCAGTCGAGTATGAATGTGAGCTAACAAACATATATACATTTTATCACATTTTTGCCAGTGAATTATAGAAGTTTATAAATTTGCTGAAAGCTTATATCATCAGTGCAGTGATGTTATATGAAATCTTTATCAGTGATGAACTTGTGTTATACTAGGTAAAATGCATAATTAGCAAACTAGAGGTAGTTACAAAGCAGTATACAACACGTGCACAGTCGTTCCTATCCAAAGTATAAAAACTCAATGCATCGCTATAACATTTTTTTTTTTTTCTGACAAGATAAGCAGTCCAGATTGACCTGTATTTTATGTCCCAGTTAAACAACTTTGGAGCACCAGGATGACATACGTAGGTACACCAGACACCATACTTGTATAATTATCTCGGAGAATAGATTACAGGATTTTCTGACACCTATTGTCAGTACCCAATAGTTTACACACACTGGTCTTTAACACAAATATCACAATAATGATGTCGACCTAGATTACAGCAGATTGCGTCGAGACACAATCAGTAAAACTTCCTTGTTTTAAGCAGCCTTTTTAGATTTAAAAATTACAGAATAAATGTTGCCTAGGGACTAGAGAATCTAATTCCTTCCTGGCAAGATATTTACGAAGATCAGTGGAGATCAGGGTCAATGTAATGACACAGACCCTACAGACTATTTAAACGTGGTATCGTTTATGTCATACTAAAGTCATGGACACTGACTCGTCACAGCTCGGGTGAGTTATATATTTTTGACAGCTATATAGAAAAGTAAGTAATCTATGATTTAATGAGTGGTATGGACAAGGTTGTACTATTACATGTTAAATGGATGTAGAATACAGTTGTTAGAACTATAACAATATCGTAGACATGGTCCTTGTACTGTTGCGCTAGTTACACCGTTATGTTTAAGGACATGTAAAAGGAAATTATTACTGACAATGTGAGAAATATCAACAGATTTTCTTCCTGTCTTTGTGGGTGTATATGGTACACGACTTGATTATGCAAATTTACATCTACTTAAAGTTTGACATTATTTGATTAATTTCCTGTCTATTCGTTTTTTTTGGTTGGAGTCATATTTTTATGTTGTTGGGTGCAATGAACAATTTTTATCAAATGTCTTTAACATGATTTAAATACACTTCTTCAAATACTGTATAAACACATCACAACTCATTATATCAGTTAATTACCTGTATCCTATTTAACAAAAATAAACCCATGTATTAGTAATAAGCCTACCCATCATCAGTTGTGGTTAAAAGGATTACAAACAAATGTTATATCAGTTTCTTTTAATAAGCCCACCCTCGGCATTAAGTCAGAATTTTTATGTATGACACCACAAGGTAATTGTGGGATAAATAAACTTGGATATGTGACATATTGTGCATCCATGAAAACTTTATGCAGTTTAACAGACTCAGAAGAAATCATTCATAATGATAATCACAGTTCCATTAAAAGTGAATGCTTCATTAATCAACACAGTGTGTCTCTAACTGAATATTGTATTTACATGCTAATATAAACAGACTGGAAAAAATCCTTGACTTTGTGAAGATGTACTGGAACTCCCAACACATTCATTACAGATCCCAATCTCCTCTAAACTCACTAGTGTGCAGGTAAATCATAAAATGCATTTTGAAAATAGCCACGCCAAATATCTAAGTCACCATAAACTAAGAAATTCAAAATAAATTTGTGTAACTTGTTAACACTTCAATAAATCGTACACTGTACAGTGTAATCCAAAGGACAGCAAAATGAAGCGGAGTTCCAGCGCGTCGTCGTGAATCGAAAATTTTCTAAAAGACAGATTAACCTAGTGTATGGAGAAAGATTAGGAAATGAAGGATAAGTAGAAAGGGACTATGCGATAATTCAATGATGATAAATTAATGTGATAAATTTGATTTATCAATGCCTTTTTCAGGGAACCTCATTTGGTTATGGATACACAGAGCCGTCAACGCTTACGTCCCTGGCTTGAAGCCAAGATTAACTCTAATACAATTCCTGGACTTCAGTGGCTGGACAGTTCACAACAAATATTTCGGGTACCATGGAAACATGGTGGAAAACATGACTGGCATGAGGAGGACTCGATGATCTTTAAGGTAAGCCATCAAGATATGGTCTTCGTTATTCTAATGATTACCGTTTATTTGCGTAAACATGATATTTATTGGGTATTTATGTAAACTTTTTTAACTGAATATTTACGTATTTTTGTAACTGTGCAAACATTTTACTTGCGTGTGTGTAAACTTTATACTTGTATGTTTGTGTAAATTCATACTGGTGTGTTAATGCAAACTTTATACTTGTGTGTGTGTGTTAATTTAATACTTGTGTGCTTGTGCAAATATCAACAGATGTGTTTCTGAAAACTTTATACTTGTGTGCTTTGTAACTCTTTGCTCTTGTTTTTGTGTGTTTGTGTAAACTTCAAACCAAGTTAAGAATTCAGGACATTACATTATAATTCATCATCCAATATTAACACATTGTCAGGAATGGGCTATCCACACTGGACGTTACAGAGAGGGAGTGGACAATGCAGAATGGCCCACCTGGAAAACACGCTTTAGATGTGCTCTCAACAAATTACCTGACATTGTGGAAGTCAAAGAAAAAAGTTCACTGGATGGAGCTGAGCCCTACAGGGCTTATAAGTTCATACCAAGGAGAGGTCAGTATACATAGCATGGGGCCTACAAAAACACAAAAAACAATATACATCACATGGGGCCTATAAATTCGTACCCAGGAAAGGTAAGTAAACATAATATGGGGTCCACAAATTCATATCCAGGGAAGGTCAATATACATAACGCGGGGTCCACAAATTCATATCCAGGGAAGGTCAATATACATAACGCGGGGTCCACAAATTCATATCCAGGGAAGGTCAATATACATAACGCGGGGTCCACAAATTCATATCCAGGGAAGGTCAATATACATAACGTGGGGTCCACAAATTAATATGCAAGGAAGGTCAATATACATAACGCGGGGTCCACAAATTCATATCCAGGGAAGGTCAATATACATAACACGGGGTCCACAAATTCATATGCAGGGAAGGTCAATATACATAACGCGGGGTCCACAAATTCATATCCAGGGAAGGTCAATATACATAACGCGGGGTCCACAAATTCATATCCAGGGAAGGTCAATAAACATAATGCGGGGTCCACAAATTCATATCCAGGGAAGGTTAATACACTATGTTTCTGTCCTAAAATGTTTAAGCATGTATATCATTTGATATTCTGTAAGTGCTGGCACAGAAGATTTGTGTATTCCTAGAATGCCTTATATTCTTATGTTGAAAGAGCAGGTTTTGTCTTTAAAGTTCCTTTCATTTTCATATTTCAGTTAAGTTACATAACATTTGTCCCTAAGCTTCTTTAATGATTTCAGTGTGATGTCACTCCAATCATTAAACACTGTAACTACCTTTTTAAAAAACTGTCCTATCTCTGTCATGCTCTACCACTCTTGTACCATACAAAATAAAGATCCCACTTCATTCCAAATATGTTCTCAAAGACCTCCTCACAACCGTGCCAATTTGTTAAGATCATAGATTAGTCTTTTTTTAAGGGGGTGGGGGACAAGTCTGAATTCCAGTGCTACAGGGCTTTTAGGTCTTCTATAGCCATCATGTTTCATCAGTCGTTGTGCGGAAACATTTCATTCAAATGATTTTCTCAGTAACCAGAAAGCTCAGGGTACTGACATTGGGCCTGTAGCATGATGGCTACCAAGTTTTTTTTTAAATATAAATGACTTGAACTACTTTCAAGGTTACAGGGGCCAAATATGTTAAAATATTTAAACAACTTCTATTCAGTAACCAAATGGCCAATGGTGCTGATATTAGACCTGTAGCATGTTGGGATAGAGGGCTATCAATCTTGTTGATTTAAATGACCTTGACCCACTTTAAAGGTCACAGGGGTCAAATATGTCAAAATCTATAAATAACTTCTTCTCATTAACCAAAAGACCAATGGTCCAGATATTGAAACTGTAGCATGTTGGGACAAAGGGCTATAAGATTTGTTAAAGTAAATGACCTTGATCCACTTTCAAGGTCACAGGGGTCAAATCTGTCAAACTCTTTAAAATAACTTCTTTTCAGTAACCAAAAGGCCAAGGGTCTTGATATTAGGGCTGTAGTATACTTTTTCAACTAGCAATTTCTGTGAAGTAATGACATTGTATAGTGCTTGTATAAAGAACATGATTTAAACCCAATGTCTTCTGTGTAAGCTGTAGTGTAATTAAGTGATTTATTTGGCCTGTTTTTTTACAAAGGTCTTTATAGTCAGATGACCATTAAAGCCGGTAGGCCTCTTGTGTTTATCAAACCTTCAGACAGTTTGCCATCTTTTCTACTGCATTTTAGTCAAGTGTGACTAACTTTTACTGTGTTTTAGTCAAGCGTGACTAACTTTTACTGTGTTTTAGTTAAGCATGACTAACTTGCCTCATAATTTGCTTTTATACGTTTTACAGAAATAGTATCTTTTAAGAAAAAATGTAAAACATTTTCACTTAAAAGTAGTATTAAATGTGGTATTACATGTTGTTACAGATTCAAAACATATCAAGAGTCCATCAGTGACAGCATCACAGGTATGTATCCTTTTATTGAACTATCAATTTTACAATGGGTAGATTTGTAACTGTCGTCTTGGAGGGGTGCGGCATACACCTCTCTTAAACCCTAATTAATTGATACGTCTGTAACCTGGACAACTTAAGCTACATTTCTTTTAAAAACTTCTTAAATCAGCAGTATTATAGCTCATTTGTTCCGAAATATATAATATCTATTTCAGTAACACAACAACTTCAGTTAAAGCTTCGAGGTTTTTCATTTGATTTCTATCAGTTATAGAATATGTTTCTGTGGAAGATAAGAATACAAACCATCCCTGCTGTAAAGCTTTTTCCCATTTGAAGGACAAATTACACTAATTTTGTTTGAAAGTATGCAGTGGGCCTTTTGAGGAAACCACCAAGTTCTACAAAGTGTCCATCTCAATGTGAGCCTATAAGCTAATCAAAGGGAGATAACCAAGCCAGTATCTTTTATATGGTATATTACCATGCTTTAAAAAGTTGTACAGCTTTGCTTAATTTTTTTTTTTTTTTTTTGAGGATTTTTTTTAGGAGTGCTGTCCATATCATTTTGACAAGGTTCTTTTATTTTGTATTTCTTGTGTATTATTTTCTTTGTTTTTTTAAAGAGTTATTTCCCTTGTATGAAATTAATCATATTTTAATTATTGAAACTTGCGTGTTTTTTCCGCAGTACACTACACCACTGGATATGGGACAAACTATGGATCTCACTACACGACAAGATGGTAGGTAGCATTTTTAAGATTTCTTAATTATTTGGTGAAATAAGTGAATCTCGACACCAGGGGAATATCATGAAATTAGAGAACACAAGGTTTACAGAGTTAGTGATGTGTTTGGAGCATCTTGAACGCCAGAGGAAAATGAATAAGTTGCAATATCGCAACTTCTGTTTGCCAACAAGCTTCCCCTTTGAGTTGAGATCCCTGTATTGAGCCCCAGGGGTTAAAAGATTTTATTGTTTTCAACTACTGGTACCTGGGGGTAAATATGAAATCTGAAGTGAATTTTCTTTTTGTATGAAATTTTATCAAACAAGTTATACAAGTTTTTATGTTTGCAAGCAATTGCAAGCAAAAATATAAATACTCTTGAGACAAGTTTTATAAAATCTCAAACAGATATGAAAACAAATTTAATACTCCTCTCATACGGCAGAAAATATACATTATGACATTTTATGAAGATCAAATTGTTTTTCCTTCTTCTGTCTGTCACTTTTCTGTTGTTTATCCCATGTTTTGTTACTGCTATTCATCCAGAACCATTTATGATTTTAGCATCTTTCCAATTTCAAGATGGCTGACAGTGGCCATTTTAGATTTTGATTGCCTTTTATTTCTATCAACTTAAGGCATGAATTCTGGACAGAAATGTTCTTTATGGGCCTTACAGTTTACGTATAATTTTTCAAGCATGATAGGGTAATGAAGAAAGCTCTCAGTAGACATTCAGGTTTTGAGCTTAAAATTACTTCTGTTGTACTAAATAAGTCATGAATATTTATAAGTTCAGTAAGGTGCCAAATAGGGCATGCTACATTTTCATTTTCTTGAGATACTACCTTAAAATGAATCACTGAAATTTATTACAACTATTTTGCATATTGCAATTCTTAATGAATAAATTGATTTGCTACCATATATGGATAAAAATCTTAACAGGGAAAGGACTATGGCATCTCTTGTTTTTCCTTGATGAACTTTGATTCATGTTTCTTCCATGTGTTTGCTGTTGGCTCACCTATAATCAGATAAAAAATGGCAGCCTGACCATTCTCTCGAACCTTTATTTCTCTTACGGTTTATGTTACTTACCTGTCATGTGTTTCTACTCTTTTCAGATGATAATCTTTTGCATGGAATTGACCTTGATTTCTTCAATGAAGTCACCACTATGGAAACTGAAAATTACGTTCCAAATCAACATAATGGTGAGAGGAGCAGGGCATGAAGCACTTTAACACTTTTTTTTTTTTTCAATTTGTCAAATGTCTGCTTTTCTAAATAGGTTTTGTTTTCTGGAGGCATACCCATTTCAGCTTCTTGGTTGTATCATTAAATGAAAAAAAAAAAAAAAAAAGGCTGCTAGATTTGTCATATGTTGTAAAAGTACAAATTTGACAAATCATTTAAATTGCAGTCCGCTTGTAATACACAAGAAGTCACCACTTTCGCCTCTTCCTCGCTGAAATTATCATTTCTGTAACTTGTTGATGCATGCCCTTTTAATGACTACATGCTTTACCCGACTGTTTTGATTAATGTTGGAACAATATTTTACATTTCAATGTTTTAGTAAAACCTTAAAACATTATGGATACATTCTTATTTCTGATTGTGTTACATGCAATTTATTTTGTCTTCTTCAGGTCATCCCTGTCAGTTTCATTCCCATATTCCTGTTATTGTCCCTACAACAAAAAGAGAAGAAGGACCGATGTCCCCGGCTATGGGAGAGATCGTCCCAGCCCAGTCAAATGCACATCACATGATGTCTAGTGGAGACCTGGCAGTCCAACAGGCAGAGCCCCCAGGTCTGTTGGATTGCTACCATTTGCACCCCTGGGGTGCCTTTCACAGCCCTTACTATAAGCTTTGGGAGGCACACAGCACAAATCTGTGTCCTTATCCATTTGAGATGTTACTTAATTTGATTGGTCAATGAAACAATTTGCGACAGTATAAATGTGATATACCATCCGCAAATTTCTCATTTGTACATATCTTACCGAGATCATGATTATAAATGACATCAATGACCCCAGTCGACCCCTAAAATGTCATAAAAAATGAAGTCAAAAACAAAATCGTAATTCTGAAATAATTTTTTCTGGAATTTTCAATATGACAACATTGATTTAGATCTTTTTCATCTCAATCTTATGAACTAAAATAGGGATAGCTCTACTGTCATATGTATGTTACAGTGATATATTGTTAACATACAATCACAAATTTACGTTTTTCTGACTTTGCTTTTTGTGACGGGTTAAAGTCGAGTTAAAACAATGATTTATTCTATATTTGGATTGGATTAATCATGTCTCATGGTCTGTCGGTTTTAGGGTTTTGTCTGATGAATTGATTCTATTTATCAGAATTGAACCAAATTTTGTATATTACTTTATATAAAAAATGTCGGACGACTATGAATCTGTTAACGTTTCCCTGAGTTACGGGACTTTAAAATTCTAAATTTTATAATTTTATTATTTCATTAACATTGTTATACTGTCTTACATGAGGGTTTTATTTTTGTTTAAATTCTTGGGTACTCTAAACTCACAAAATTATCAAATATATTTCCACAAAACATCAAACAATTTAAAATTTATTTGAATCTTAGTTGATTTTCTAAAGACTTAATTTTACCAAATAAAGTGCCAAAGAAATAGATATTTACTAAGAAACCACAAAATTTGATTCACCTGAAAAAATATGACTTTACAGTATAGTAATGTTGCACTGATTACAAATTTCTTGTCAGTGTAAAATTTAATTTTCTAATGTGTATGTTAGCCAAAATGACATGTAAATTTAATATGCTCTTCAGTAGAGGAAGGACATACCTACATGTACGTTGTCAAGGAGCTGTTTATGGTTACAGCTTATTATTTTACTTTCCTGCACAAAAATTTTCTTGGTAGTAAGTCTGATTATATATTACTAGTCACTAAGTTGGAACAATGGAGAAACACGTTTCTCGTCCATGGCCATATTGATTTCTTTTTTCTGATAGTAGAACATTGTATCATAGAATTAATATGTCTACCATTCTAGCTGTGTGGTAATGAACTAAAATATTTGTTGTAGACTATGAAATGGACATCAAATTGATGTATCGTCACTTGGATGTCCATCAATCCACTTGTAGTAACGCCACAGGTTGTCGACTGTTCTACGGACAGGATCCCGAGATCAAAGATGTAGTACAACAGGCGGTAAGTGTTATTGGTTGTTGAAACCAATGGCAATGGATGCTGAAATAAATGTTACATACATGTATATATATATATATATTTACATTCGTTTTGACCAGTTTTTTGTAGATATTGATGTTAATCTACCTTTAGATGTTGATTGTACATACTGGTTTCAAAATCTGGTATATTGGTAGTTAACTGATAGTGATATTAATATATGGAAATATTCATTCATCTCGTTACTTCACTTGTAGGTGTTCGGACCAGATGGACTGGAGAACATATGCTTCCCTCATTGTGATGGGATACTTAGGAACCAGAAACAAGTGACCTTGACCAATCAGTTGTTGAACGCCCTTGACCGAGGGATCATTCTGGAGTGTGAGAATGGCAATATATATGCAACCAGGAAGTGCAAGTGTGTAGCACCATTTCACAACTTTTTTTATATGAATAACGTACATTTTGTTTCACTCAAATGGAAGTGAACCTATTACATGTGACAGTTTTATTCTTCTCATTTTCATATACATTATCATCCTTTCTCAAGTGACCTATTAATATCACTTTTTTCTGTCATCGTCTTTTACATATTTGTGTAAACAATTAACCTTTTTATCTTTTTTTTACTTTTTAATAACCCAAAAAGCAATTTTATTGACATTTTGCACAAACCTTCAATGGACAAAGATGATATAAAATAGTAAATCATATGATCCCTACTACCCAGAGGCCCGAGGGGCAGCATCCTCATATGTCCAGTTTGTCTCTGTCGCTCTCTCCACCTGTGGATCATGTCATGGCAAAATTGAAGGCACAAGTGAAGTAATTTGATTGGTTCCAGGAGAAATAAACTGACCAATCACAGGCTGATATACTTCTTTTAAAGATTAAAGGAGTCACCAAACTTCAAAGTCATTACAATATACCATTATGCGACCTTGAGATTCGTTTGATGTACATCAAAGAATCCACCTGGTCTTTTTGTCTTGTCGGCAAGGTATTGCACATGGAACCTTCAATTTTGTCGTGAACTGTTCAATGGGTGCAGAGTGATAGTGATTGTAACCCTTTGAGTATCGAGGATGGAAGGGCAGAGCCAATGCTTGCCAAATTGAATGAAAATTTTAAAATCTTCCTTGCACTTGACACATTCCATGTACAGAATATTATCCTGGTAACTGTGGTCCTTCTTCTGTAGTTCAAGTGATATTACTTGATTAAGAAGATTATTTCTAAGGTATACTACAGAAACAAAACCTAAGATTTTTATAAAAAAAACATGTAACTGTTAAGGCAGCCTCTTGTTCCTACAGTTTTTAGGTAAAGATAAAGACCTGAAATTTATGTTCCACAGTATAACCAGTGAATTGTGATAATGACCTGAAATTTATGTTCCACAGTATAACCAGTGAATTGTGATAAAGACCTGAAATTTATGTTCCACAGTATAACCAGTGAATTGTGATAAAGACCTGAAATTTATGTTCCACAGTATAACCAGTGAATTGTGATAAAGACCTGAAATTTATGTTCCACAGTATAACCAGTGAATTGTGATAAAGACCTGAAATTTATGTTCCACAGTATAACCAGTGAATTGTGATAAAGACCTGAAATTTATGTTCCACAGTATAACCAGTGAATTGTGATAAAGACCTGAAATTTATGTTCCACAGTATAACCAGTGAATTGTGATAATGACCTGAAATTTATGTTCCACAGTATAACCAGTGAATTGTGATAATGACCTGAAATTTATGTTCCACAGTATAACCAGTGAATTGTGATAATGACCTGAAATTTATGTTCCACAGTATAACCAGTGAATTGTGATAATGACCTGAAATTTATGTTCCACAGTATAACCAGTGAATTGTGATAAAGACCTGAAATTTATGTTCCACAGTATAACCAGTGAATTGTGATAAAGACCTGAAATTTATGTTCCACAGTATAACCAGTGAATTCTAGTAATGACCTGAAATTTATGTTCCACAGTATAACCAGTGAATTGTGATAATGACCTGAAATTTATGTTCAGCAGTATAACCAGTGAATTGTAATAATGACCTGAAATTTATGTTCCACAGTATAACCAGTGAATTGTGATAAAGACCTGAAATTTATGCTCCACAGTATAACCAGTGAATTGTGATAAAGACCTGAAATTTATGTTCCACAGTATAACCTGTGAATTACGATAGAGATTTGAAATGCAGCTTCAAGATTTAAATGGAGGTCATGTTTTTAGAATTTTACATGCTTGGTTCAGAATTTGTGAAAGTGATATATTATGAACTAGTCATATTGCTAAAACAGAAAAATCAACAGCCATCAAGGGAAATCTGTTTACAGTTGATGGAAATGTGAAAATATGGAGAATGAAAAAAGTGTTTTTCTTTTCCTGTTTCAGATGTGTTGTTTTCGTTTCTTCACAATCTCTAGAGGAAGGCAAACCTACGAAACTCCAGCGTGATATAAGAACTCTCATTTTTAATTACCAGACATACTTTGAACCCATGTTGTACAGATACATCAGCAACAATTCAAACAAACCCTCTCCTGAAATCTTATTTGGATTTGGCCAAAACTGGCGAGCAAATGACCAGCCCTTGAGCAACTTGTTGATTGCTGCTGTGGTAGGCAGTGCCAAAGCCAGGCATAAGATTTCACAGGTATGTCTGGAACAATTTTGATGATTTGAATCTCTATAGTAAGCTTACTGGCCTTTTTGTGCTAGTTTTCCTTCCTGAAAATTTGTCCCCTAATGATGAAACCAGGGGAAGGGGTAGGGGTACGGGGGAGGGGTCTATAGTTTTCCTCTCAATCCTTCCTTTTGTCTTAATCACTGTGAAAAGTTCATCTCCACTATCAGCTTCATTTCTTATAAAACATCAACATATCTTGGACAACTTTGAGATTCTAGGATTTAGGGTCATGTTAAAGGTCAAGGTTACTATTTTTAGAAAATCATTGTCAGAGCTTTAGGGACTCTCATCAATCTTCACACTTTGAAAGCATCAGAATATCTTGCACAAATTTCTGCTTCACAGTTATTCGGTCTAGGCCAAGGTCAAGGTCACTGTATATATATATGTAATTTAAAACTTGTTATTGGCACTCTAATTGCTTGTTTCCTTATTGGATGTTGATCAAACTTCACGTACTTAGAAATGACCATAACATATAACACATTTGTGATTCAACTATTTTCAGATTATCATACTTAATCATTGCATTGTTCTGTTTAAATAAGTTACAAATGAATTGTACATTTTTCTTGTTTTTTTCTTCTAAATTAACATGCATTGCATTAGCAGTAATCAGTATATATTTTAAGCCTGCCATCTGTACTACAGGACAGGATTAAGGGTAATTAATTACTAGTCCTCCACACTGTAAGTCCCCCGTACAGGACAGGAATAAGGGTAGTTAATTACTAGTCCTCCACACTGTAAGTCCCCCGTACAGGACAGGAATAAGGGTAGTTAATTACTAGTCCACACTGTAAGTCCCCCGTACTGGACAGGAATAAGGGTAGTTAATTACTAGTCCTCCACACTGTAAGTCCCCCGTACTGGACAGGAATAAGGGTAGTTAATTACTAGTCCTCCACACTGTAAGTCCCCCGTACAGGACAGGAATAAGGGTAGTTAATTACTAGTCCTCCACACTGTAAGTCCCCCGTACAGGACAGGAATAAGGGTAGTTAATTACTAGTCAGGACTCCACACTGTAAGTCCCCCGTACAGGACAGGAATAAGGGTAGTTAATTACTAGTCCTCCACACTGTAAGTCCCCCGTACAGGACAGGAATAAGGGTAGTTAATTACTAGTCCTCCACACTGTAAGTCCCCCGTACAGGACAGGAATAAGGGTAGTTAATTACTAGTCCTCCACACTGTAAGTCCCCTGTACAGGACAGGAATAAGGGTAGTTAATTACTAGTCCTCCACACTGTAAGTCCCCCGTACAGGACAGGAATAAGGGTAGTTAATTACTAGTCCTCCACACTGTAAGTCCCCCGTACAGGACTGGAATAAGGGTAGTTAATTACTAGTCCACACTGTAAGTCCCCCGTACAGGACAGGAATAAGGGTAGTTAATTACTAGTCCTCCACACTGTAAGTCCCCCGTACAGGACAGGAATAAGGGTAGTTAATTACTAGTCCTCCACACTGTAAGTCCCCCGTACAGGACAGGAATAAGGGTAGTTAATTACTAGTCCTCCACACTGTAAGTCCCCCGTACAGGACAGGAATAAGGGTAGTTAATTACTAGTCCACAATTACTAGTCCTCCACACTGTAAGTCCCACATACAGGACAGGAATAAGGGTAGTTAATTACTAGTCCTCCACACTGTAAGTCCCCCGTACAGGACAGGAATAAGGGTAGTTAATTACTAGTCCTCCACACTGTAAGTCCCCCGTACAGGACAGGAATAAGGGTAGTTAATTACAGTACAGGAATAAGGGTAGTTAATTACTAGTCCTCCACACTGTAAGTCCCCCGTACAGGACAGGAATAAGGGTAGTTAATTACTAGTCCTCCACACTGTAAGTCCCCTGTACAGGACAGGAATAAGGGTAGTTAATTACTAGTCCACACTGTAAGTCCCCCGTACTGGACAGGAATAAGGGTAGTTAATTGCTAGTCCTCCACACTGTAAGTCCCCCGTACAGAACTATGGGTGTGTTAAATAATAAATCATCCCTCCAGAAGTCGATGAAGTGCTCTAGTTTATGTCCTATTTCATGTTGCTGTATTACACATGATTTTTTTTTGTTTTCCAGATTAGCTTCATGAGTCCACATTCACTGCCGATGGAAGTGTCCAATTCCGATGACTTTGACAAGTTCTTAAAATTATATAAGAATGTAGAATGTTACTGAAATGACTGCACAAAATTGACTTTCTTTGTTGTCATCCATATTACATTGTAAGAGTATACGTTGGTTTGTTTATAACACATTTAAGGTGAATCAAGAGTACTTGATGCCGTTATTGTTAGGGATTCTAATTTTTGCCATATTCAAGGAATATATAAAATCATCAAAGATAGATATACCTTAAAAATGAAATAATAATGAAAATCCGAGCCCGTTACTTGATTTCCATAAAAAATGGTTTTTTTTCATAAAACTGTACAAATTTGAAATATACAGAAAATAAATCCCAAATTATGGAATAAATCTGAGCCCGTTACTTGATTTCCATAAAAAATGGGTTTTTTACATAAAACTGTACAAATTTGAAATATACAGAAAATAAATCCCAAACTATGGTATATATATATATATTTGACCGATATTTAGACCAATACTTTAAAGTTGTGTGGATAATAGTACTTTAAAAAAACAGTGGGTATCCTTATTTTAAAAAGAAATTACAGTAAATTTTTGTCTTATTACAATTGTATATATATAATATGTGTATCACCTTATGGACAATGTCAGCTGGTTTCCGCTTAAATTTGCACATAAAGGTGTTAATTAATAATCATATATATATATAAAAAGAAAAATCAAATTTCTTACTGTTTGTAAATCTTTGTATATGTAAATTTTGTGTCATATACGTTAACATATGTACACAAAACACGACATCAGTAAACAAGAATGGCAAAATTGGCAGACTAAAATCACAGAATTTTTGCTGTGAAAGCTTCCCATGGCAGATGGGAACTTATCTGATGAGAAAGCAATCTGGATGGTTTGCGTGCATTCTGCTTAATTGACTGATGACTGACCAAAAGGAACTAGGTCAAGGCTTTGATGTTGTTTACAATAAGTGTACAGCTGGAGAGAGAATTTTACAATGTCATATTTTTTAGCGTTTACAAATCAAATGTCTTTTTGTCAAAAAATTTCAGTGCAAAAAAAAAATAGTTGATGTACTGTGTCACTACATTTTTCTCCAACTTCACATGTTCATGTATACAAATGGAAATACTCATTTAACACCGTTATATGAGAACATCAGCTTTAAATTTGAGAGGAATTCCCTGAATAAATTGAGTGTTAAATCTGGATATTCTAAATCGGGATATCATAAAAAGGAAACAGGTAACATATAAAAAGAATATTACTGTGATGTCCCTTTAAAGTTGGGTGGGTATCCTTATTCTAATTTAAGCTGTGTGGATGTCATTAGTTTCCATGATTGAGAGTGACACCTGATCTACTTTAAAAGTTTTAATACTGATATGTAATTGTGAAATTTTTGAAAATATGAAAATCAGTGATTATTTCATGTAGTTTCACTTATCGACATCATTAACAAAACGTTACGCTCTATTTTTGAGGAAAGTTGATATGTTGATCAATCTTGTGAGATATACCATGAAGCCTTTATTATGGAAAATGTGTATAAGTAATTAAAAACGTTTTTGTACACTGAAACTTATTTGAGGGAAAGCCTAAAATTTATGTTTTATACAGAAACAAGTGTGTCCAAATTCCCAAGGGCATATTGTTTACAGAAATAATAGTTATAGTAGTGTATATATATAAATTCGCTTCAATAGAGGGCCCATATTACTAAGATTCAGTACATACATATTTCAACATGTACAAAATGCTGACATATCTATCTCTAACTTTTCATTTGTTTGCCTGTTCATAACACGGTTTGATGTGCAGCATTCCTCAGCCATGTAGAATAGAAACCTCTAAGAGGCATCACATGGTGGATTGTTCAACTCGCTCCATGTGCATGGTTCATCCATGGTCAGAATAAGTTTCCCATCCATCCTTAAACATTTCGTATTATAACTAAGTTTTGAGAAGCACTTGATGGGCCTTTTTATAAATTTCAAATGAAGGTTCCCCTTGGTCCCTAATTTTGCCTTTTTTTTCATTTGGAGACTAACCAGATAAACAAAATGGCTGACAAGAGATGGCCGTTTAAAATTTTGACAATGAAGGATTTTAATTGTTATTCCTTAGTAAATATGAATCTTCCTTATATTTCATATACAGGCTTCTTTCCGTCCTTAAGATGCTCTTTCAATTACAAGATTGTACATTAAAACAAAGTAGCTGACAGACTGTCATCTTACAGTAAAAGTTTGTTATTGTATCACTTAGAATACGTGATTAGTTTTTCTTCGAATTTGTTTGGAAGTTGTCCATGGTCCTTTGTTATGCTCTGAATGTAGATTTTTTTTTTTTTTTTTGTGAATTGTTGGAATATGTATAAATATATATATCTGAAATTTGAAGCTACTTCTATTGTAAACTACCACAAATTATCATTATGATCATTAGTAAAAGACTCAAAACACCTATATTGGTCGGACATTTTTGTCGAAATACAGATCACCATGGTAATGCTGTTAGATAGCCTGTTAATTAGCCCACGCATGTTTAGCACTTCAGTAGAATCTAAAACAAGCAGAGTGTCCTTAATTAAGCCCATTCTCAGACATGAATCAAAGATTATGTTTCATGGCCCCTGGGCCAGACTGGATTTTTTGCTGGAATAAGTAAATCTGGCTTTTACATTGAACTGGATTAAAGGTTATGTTCCAAGGGCCCAGGGCCAGCTTGGGTTTTTTTTTTGTAAAAATAAATAAAAAAAACATGTCCATTATATTGTCCTAGTTGTATCATGTTTACAAGAGTCTGGCTGTATTAGTACAGCCATGGGTGTAGGATTTGTAAATACATTTGTACAGAGGTATGTTTAATTACTAAACAGTCATGTTAACAAAGGCAATTTAAAAAACCAATCTTCAGAAACAATTCAGTTTTGCAGGCAAACAAATTACATTGCAATAGCATGCAAAGCTGTGTCATTCATGTCGAATGTAAATGTCATAGCTAAGAGTTTCGTTGCTTTAACCATATTCTCGGCATATTCTCAGAGACAAAGTTTGAAATCAGGTGAGAGTGCAACTTAATCCTAACTTAATTTGATTTGTAACTGCATTATTGGGTTTTTTTTCAAAGGTTTTTTATATACATGATTTGTCTGTGCATGTTGTCTCACTAATACTTTGTTTTGCATTCAGTTTTAATATAACATTGTACATTAATTAACTATGAAAATGCAGCAATACATTTTACTATGACTGGTTTTATTTCACTAATTCATTTTTACTTCCTACTAATATTGATGTAACCTATTATTATCATAATAGTTTAATATATATCCTCTAATTAAGAAGTTCAAGGGTTTATGAAAGTTACCAACAGCTGTAGGTCAGGTGACAATGTATTATGTGAGAATGAAGTATTAAACAGTAATATATGTATGTTTTGATGAGAATTGATTCCAGTTTCATATTGGATGAATGAAAAAATTAGTTTAAATAGTTTGTTTCTGGCATTGAAAATATTGTAAATTATGAAACATTGCTTTTGAATAACTAATCTTTATTTGTACCGATTTCCTATTCCATATTATTGATAAAAGCTAGTCAAAGCTGATGACTTTATACAACCTCTACATCAACAGCATAAGATAATAAATTACACTTGACCTTGGTTTTCATTGACCTAGAAGTCGTTCCCAAACTCACCCGATTAATTGTCTTTGCAATTCTAACATTAATTAATTGGCTTCATTTCTTTAATTGAATTATTTTTTCATTATCTTTAAATTACATCCCATCACTAGTGTGTACCATATGTATCCTGTAATAAGACCAGGGGATTCACTCATAATCTCTTACTCAAGGTGGGTAGGCTTATGATGGTATAACAAAACTGCATTCCTGCATGGGCTTATTACAGAACATGGACTTATTGCAGGATAAATATGGTTTATAGAAGAACTTATTAAGTGTATACTGTGATCAATCTAATTAAAATCAAAGATATGATTTCATTTCTTTGTTCTGTGACAAAGTGAAATGAGTGATCTGGTTTTATTCTGATTAATGTAAGTGTGTAAGTTTAAAAAAAGGATACACATATATACATGACATATGTAAATCATTTCCAAGAGAGGAGGAATTGTTTCGATATCTTATAGTGACAATTATCTGCTTATGATTCTAAAATTTAATGTATACTTAATATTACGTAAATAAAAACATTGAAAAGAATATATTTTTGTTTGAGAATTTTTAAAAATATCTTTATGATAGAAATGCTGTCAATATGACAAGGCCCTTCTGTGCACCAAGGGGATTACAGAATTTGTGACAAAACAAATCTGTAGGTATTTGGCTTTGACCTTGACCCTGATGCAACATGACCATGTGACACATCGTATATTGGTGATGCATATCTATATGAATGTACATTGGCATACATAAATCAATGGCACATATTATGCATCACTTTGGCAGTTAAGAGAAAATATTGAGCTCAAGTGCAGCAGAAAACTCAGTAAAGGTGCGTTGTTCCACCAGGACAATGCTTCTGTTCACTAGTCTGTCATTTCATGGCTGCCATTAATAATTGTGGCTTTGAATTGACTGAGCATCTGCCTTATTCACCATATCTCGCTCTATCAGACTTTCATCTATTTCCAAAACTACCCACTTTTGGTCATATGATGAAGTCATATATGCAGTGGAGGACTTTATGAACAGTCAAGCAAAGGACTCCTTTGAAAGTGGCCCTTAAACATCGCTGGCAAAGTATGTATAGATACTGAAGGACAAAGCAATATGTCAGCCAAAAGTCAATCCTTTAAACATCAGGCTCACAACTTCTCTATTTTCCCTCGTATCACATCTGTTCATGTAGTATAACTCAATCACAGTTATTTTTACCCTACTAATCAATTAGTTTAATTTTTGGGTGTCACTTACACGATATTAATCTCTTAGTCCATTTCATCCCTCCAAACAGTTGAAGTAGACTCTGATTTAAATAATTACCGTAATTTTCTACAGTTCACTTTGACACTGCTAGTAGCCCTGAATTCCCTGGTTTTGAAGCTGTATAGATAGAGTCGTCACTTAGAACCAAGTCTTCACAAAGCATGTCCTCAACATGAACTGGCTGGGTAATGTTAGTACTACCGTTGGTGTTACCAGCTGGTAAGATCCGAAACTTGGTCCTCTTCAGTTGGTTTTTGGTCATGGATTTCTTGAATGTAAACTTAAATGTAAATGTTCCCTTACTTTCTCATTGAATAAGATAAGATTTACACTCTGGACGCAAATAAATGCTGAGCATATGAACTAAATTATGCATTAATTGATCAAGACTAGTTGTAAAAAACAAAACATTTAAAGAAAAGGATGCTTTTTTATCAGTATAGATCCTGGGAAAAAGTGATGGTTTCACCATCTGTTCAGGAGCTGGACATTCAACGTCCCCACAGTTTCACTGTTGGGGAATAATAACACCACTTTGACCTCAGCATGTACAGGAACAGTTCACAACAGTCTGATCACAACTCATACATTCACTGACTGACTTGATTTCATGGTGTCATACATTTTACGGACATGAATTAACAGTTCTACGATGCCAGTCCCCTCAGTTGCCGAAATGGCAAATGCAGGAACATCACTTTTGGCTTGTATGATCTGAAAGTTTGATTTGGATGACAGTAAATCAATTTTGTTTCCAACGATCGCATGTGGTCGTGTCATCAACTCTGAATTGTATTGTTGGAGTTCATGTCTTAAGTCCTCATATTGCTGCCAGGGGTCATCACTAGAAAGGTCAAGGACGTACAAGAGACATGTACATTTCATTATGTGACGCAAGAAGGAGAAGCCGAGTCCTTTGGACTCGTGAGAACCTTTTACCAGACCAGGAATATCAGCAACTGAAACATGAAGGAGTATTTTTCCAGATTCACAATGAGAAGAATAAGACATTTTTAGGATTTCTTGTATAATAAAATCACTATGAAAGTATTCTTTATTACGTTGATAAACTTCATCTTGGATGTCACTGCTGATCATTACATCCAATCATGCTGTCTGTTTGTATGACTATGAAGTCTGAAAGAGTTGTTCCCCTTGAACTAAAGGAATCTTATTTCTAGGTACTAAGACCGGCCTACAAGTACACATGACCTGAGATACCTAGGTACTAAGAATGAGCCTACAAGTACACATGACCTGAGAAACCTATGTACTAAGAACGGGCCTACAAGTACACATGACCTGAGATACCTAGGTACTAAGAATGGGCCTACAAGTACACGAAACCTGAGATACCTAGGTACTAAGAACGGGCCTACAAGTACACATGACCTGAGATACCTAAGTACTAAGAATGGACCTACAAGTACACATGACCTGAGATACCTAGGTACTAAGAATGGGCCTACAAGTACACATGACCTGAGATACCTAGGTACTAAGAATGGGCCTACAAGTACACATGACCTAAGATACCTAGGTACTAAGAATGGGCCTTCAAGTACACTAAACCTGAGATACTTAGGTACTAAGAAAGGACCTACAACTACACATGACCAGAGATACCTAGGTACTAAGAATGGACCTACAAGTACACATGACCTGAGATACCTAGGAACTAAGAATGAGCCTACAAGTACACATGACCTCAGATACCTAGGTACAAAGAATGGGCCTACAAGTACACATGACCTGAGATACCTAGGTACTAAGAATGGGCCTTCAAGTACACATGACCTGAGATACCTAGGTACTAAGAATGAGCCTACAAGTACAAATGACCTGAGATACCTAGGTACTAAGAATGAGCCTACAAGTTCACATGACTTGAGATACCTAGGTACTAAGAATAAGCCTACAAGTACACATGACCAGAGATACCTAGGTACTAAGAATGGGCCTACAAGTACACATGACCTGAGATACCTAGGTACTAAGAATGGGCCTACAAGTACACATGACCTGAGATACCTAGGTACTAAGAATGGGCCTACAAGTACACATGACCTGAGATACCTAGGTACTAAGAATGGGCCTACAAGTACACATGACCTGAGATACCTAGGTACTAAGAATGGGCCTACAAGTACACATGACCTGAGATACCTAGGTACTAAGAATGGGCCTACAAGTACACATGACCTGAGATACTTAGGTATTATGAATGGGCCTACAAGTACACATGACCTGAGATACCTAGGTACTAAGAATGGGCCTACAAGTACACATGACCTGAGATACCTAGGTACTAAGAATGGGCCTACAAGTACACATGACCAGAGATACCTAGGTACTAAGAACGGGCCTACAAGTACACATGACCTGAGATACCTAGGTACTAAGAATGGGCCTACAAGTACACATGACCTGAGATACCTAGGTACTAAGAATGGGCCTACAAGTACACGAAACCTGAGATACCTAAGTACTAAGAATGGACCTACAAGTACACATGACCTGAGATACCTAGGTACTAAGAATGAGCCTACAAGTACACATGACCTGAGATACCTAGGTACTAAGAATGAGCCTACAAGTACACATGACCTCAGATACCTAGGTACAAAGAATGGGCCTACAAGTACACATGACCTGAGATACCTAGGTACTAAGAATGGGCCTTCAAGTACACATGACCTGAGATACCTAGGTACTAAGAATGAGCCTACAAGTACACATGACCTGAGATACCTAGGTACTAAGAATGAGCCTACAAGTACACATGACCTGAGATACCTAGGTACTAAGAATGGGCCTACAAGTGCACATGACCTGAGATACCTAGGTACTAAGAATGGGCCTACAAGTACACATGACCTAAGATACCTAGGTACTAGGAATGGGCCTACAAGTACACATGACCTGAGATACCTAGGTACTAAGAATGGGCCTACAAGTACACATGACTTGAGATACCTAGGTACTAAGAACAAGAGGCCCATGGGCCTTAACGGTCATCTGACAAAAAGCAAGCCAAACCTAGAAAGTGGGTTGAGGTCATTCATTTGAACAAACTTGGTAGCCTCTCCTCCAAGCACATGACCCCAATATCAGCACTCATGGACTTTTGCTTCTTGAGAAGAAGTCGTTTGTATATTTTAACATATTTGACCCCTACCTTGAAAGTGGGTACACATGACCTGAGATACCTAGGTATTGAGATGAAGTCCTTTGTATATTTTAACATATTTGACCCCTGTACCTTGAAAGTACACATTTGACATACTTTGTAGGGATACATGCTAGTCAAGTATTAGCCCCCTAGGCCTTCTAGTATTTAAGAGTTATTTAAAGATTTTGCCTACCTTGAAAGTTGTTCAAGGTCACATTTAAATAAATAGACCTGAGCATGCTACCAATATCGGTACTCACAGACTTTTGCTTATTGAGATGAAGTCCTTTGTATATTTTAACATATTTGACCCCTGTGACCTTGAAAGTGGGCCAAGGTCACATGAACAAACTTTGTAGGGCTCCATGCCAGCATGCTATGGGCCAAGTATTACCTAGGCCTTCTAGTATTTGAGACGAAGTTATTTAAAATTTTGACATATTTGACCCGTGACCTTGAAACAAGTACACATACCTGAGCATGCCACAGGCACAATATAGCAATCTGAGCCTTTTGGTTAATGGAAGCCTAAAGATTTTACACATGACCTGAGACCTTTAAAGTGGGTCAACATTCATTTGAACAAACTTGGTAGAGCTCCATGAGTATCCTCTGTGCCAAGTACAGCCCCCAGACCTGAGAAGAAGTCGTTTGAATGAAAAGTTTACGGACGGCGCACGGGGCGCACGGCTACAAGTACACATGACCTGAGATACCTAGGTACTAAGAATGGTCCTACAAGTACACATGACCTGAGATACCTAGGTACTAAGAATGGAGCCTACAAGTACACATGATGAGATACCTAGGTACAATGGGCCTACAAGTACACATGACCTGAGATACCTAGGTACTAAGAATGGGCCTACAAGTACACATGACCTGAGATACCTAGGTACTAAGAATGGGCCTACAAGTACACATGACCTGAGATACCTAGGTACTAAGAATGGGCCTACAAGTACACATGACCTGAGATACCTAGGTACAAAGAATGGGCCTACAAGTACACATGACCTGAGATACCTAGGTACTAAGAATGGGCCTACAAGTACACATGACCTGAGATACCTAGGTACTAAGAATGGGCCTACAAGTACACATGACCTGAGATACCTAGGTACTAAGAATGGGCCTACAAGTACACATGACCTGAGATACCTAGGTACTAAGAATGGGCCTACAAAGTCATATGACCTGAGATACCTAGGTACTAAGAATGGGCCTACAAGTACACATGACCTGAGATACCTAGGTACAAAGAATGGGCCTACAAGTACACATGACCTGAGATACCTAGGTACTAAGAATAGGCCTACAAGTACACATGACCTGAGATACCTAGGTACTAAGAATGGGCCTACAAGTACTAAGAATGGGCCTACAAGTACACATGACCTGAGATACCTAGGTACTAAGAATGGGCCTACAAGTACACATGACCTGAGATACCTAGGTACTAAGAATGGGCCTACAAGTACACATGACCTGAGATACCTAGGTACTAAGAAGCCTACAGTACACATGACCTGAGATACCTAGGTACTAAGAATGGGCCTACAAGTACACATGACCTGAGATACCTAGGTACTAAGAATGGGCCTACAAGTACACATGACCTGAGATACCTAGGTACTAAGAATGGGCCTACAAGTACACATGACCTGAGATACCTAGGTACTAAGAATGGGCCTACAAGTACACATGACCTGAGATACCTAGGTACTAAGAATGGGCCTACAAGTACACATGACCTGAGATACCTAGGTACTAAGAATGGGCCTACAAGTACACATGACCTGAGATACCTAGGTACTAAGAATGGGCCTACAAGTACACATGACCTGAGATACCTAGGTACTAAGAATGGGCCTACAAGTACACATGACCTGAGATACCTAGGTACTAAGAATGGGCCTACAAGTACACATGACCTGAGATACCTAGGTACTAAGAATGGGCCTACAAGTACACATGACCTGAGATACCTAGGTACTAAGAATGGGCCTACAAGTACACATGACCTGAGATACCTAGGTACTAAGAATGGGCCTACAAGTACACATGACCTGAGATACCTAGGTACTAAGAATGGGCCTACAAGTACACATGACCTGAGATACCTAGGTACTAAGAATGGGCCTACAAGTACACATGACCTGAGATACCTAGGTACTAAGAATGGGCCTACAAGTACACATGACCTGAGATACCTAGGTACTAAGAATGGGCCTACAAGTACACATGACCTGAGATACCTAGGTACTAAGAATGGGCCTACAAGTACACATGACCTGAGATACCTAGGTACTAAGAATGGGCCTACAAGTACACATGACCTGAGATACCTAGGTACTAAGAATGGGCCTACAAGTACACATGACCTGAGATACCTAGGTACTAAGAACGGACCTACAAGTACACATGACCTGAGATACCTAGGTACTAAGAATGGGCCTACAAGTACACATGACCTGAGATACCTAGGTACTAAGAATGGGCCTACAAGTACACATGACCTGAGATACCTAGGTACTAAGAATGGGCCTACAAGTACACATGACCTGAGATACCTAGGTACTAAGAATGGGCCTACAAGTACACATGACCTGAGATACCTAGGTACTAAGAATGGGCCTACAAGTACACATGACCTGAGATACCTAGGTACTAAGAATGGGCCTACAAGTACACATGACCTGAGATACCTAGGTACTAAGAATGGGCCTACAAGTACACATGACCTGAGATACCTAGGTACTAAGAATGGGCCTACAAGTACACATGACCTGAGATACCTAGGTACTAAGAATGGGCATACAAATATAGGTACTAAGAATGGGCCTACAAGTACACATGACCTGAGATACCTAGGTACTAAGAATGGGCCTACAAGTACACATGACCTGAGATACCTAGGTACTAAGAATGGGCCTACAAGTACACATGACCTGAGATACCTAGGTACTAAGAATGGGCCTACAAGTACACATGACCTGAGATACCTAGGTACTAAGAATGGGCCTACAAGTACACATGACCTGAGATACCTAGGTACTAAGAATGGGCCTACAAGTACACATGACCTGAGATACCTAGGTACTAAGAATGGGCCTACAAGTACACATGACCTGAGATACCTAGGTACTAAGAATGGGCCTACAAGTACACATGACCTGAGATACCTAGGTACTAAGAATGGGCCTACAAGTACACATGACCTGAGATACCTAGGTACTAAGAATGGGCCTACAAGTACACATGACCTGAGATACCTAGGTACTAAGAATGGGCCTACAAGTACACATGACCTGAGATACCTAGGTACTAAGAATGGGCCTACAAGTACACATGACCTGAGATACCTAGGTACTAAGAATGGGCCTACAAGTACACATGACCTGAGATACCTAGGTACTAAGAATGGGCCTACAAGTACACATGACCTGAGATACCTAGGTACTAAGAATGGGCCTACAAGTACACATGACCTGAGATACCTACTAAGAATGGGCCTACAAGTACACATGACCTGAGATACCTAGGTACTAAGAATGGGCCTACAAGTACACCTGAGATACCTAGGTACTAAGAATGGGCCTACAAGTACACATGACCTGAGATACCTAGGTACTAAGAATGGGCCTACAAGTACACATGACCTGAGATACCTAGGTACTAAGAATGGGCCTACAAGTACACATGACCTGAGATACCTAGGTACTAAGAACGGGCCTACAAGTACACATGACCTGAGATACCTAGGTACTAAGAATGGGCCTACAAGTACACATGACCTGAGATACCTAGGTACTAAGAATGAGCCTACAAGTACACATGACCTGAGATACCTAGGTACTAAGAATGGGCCTACAAGTACACATGACCTGAGATACCTAGGTACTAAGAATGGGCCTACAAAGTCATATGACCTGAGATACCTAGGTACTAAGAATGGGCCTACAAGTACACGAAACCTGAGATACCTAGGTACTATGAATGGGCCTACAAGTACACATGACCTGAGATACCTAGGTACTAAGAATGGGCCTACAAGTACACATGACCTGAGATACCTAGGTACTAAGAATGGGCCTACAAGTACACATGACCTGAGATACCTAGGTACTAAGAATGGGCCTACAAGTACACATGACCTGAGATACCTAGGTACTAAGAATGGGCCTACAAGTACACATGACCTGAGATACCTAGGTACTAAGAATGGGCCTACAAGTACACATGACCTGAGATACCTAGGTACTAAGAATGGGCCTACAAGTACACGAGACCTAAGATACTTAGGTACTATGAATGGGCCTACAAGTACACATGACCTGAGATACCTAGGTACTAAGAATGGGCCTACAAGTACACATGACCTGAGATACCTAGGTACTAAGAATGGGCCTACAAGTACACATGACCTGAGATACCTAGGTACTAAGAATGGGCCTACAAGTACACATGACCTGAGATACCTAGGTACTAAGAATGGGCCTACAAGTACACATGACCTGAGATACCTAGGTACTAAGAATGGGCCTACAAGTACACATGACCTGAGATACCTAGGTACTAAGAATGGGCCTACAAGTACACATGACCTGAGATACCTAGGTACTAAGAATGGGCCTACAAGTACACATGACCTGAGATACCTAGGTATTAAGAATGGGCCTACAAGTACACACGACCTGAGATACCTAGGTACTAAGAATGGGCATACAAATATAGGTACTAAGAATGGGCCTACAAGTACACATGACCTGAGATACCTAGGTACTAAGAATGGGCCTACAAAGTCATATGACCTGAGATGAGAAAGTTTCAACAACCAATAATGTATTTCTGAGAAATAAGATATAATTTAAGAGTTGTTTCCTGTCACCTGAGCATTGTGACTAACAGGTAACAAAGAACTATGATATACATAGAACCAAGGCATAACACATATCTAAAGATTGTTATAGAAAGTCATTGTGAATTCTGTCTTAATTCTGTATCTAATGACTTACCTGAAACTTGCTCATGGTCATCGTACTGTACCATTCCAACATGTGCACTGCGTGTGGTAAAAGCCTGCTCAGAAGTAAGTGGCCGAGCCCGTGAGATTGCTCGCAGAAGTGAGGATTTACCAGCATTGGGAAACCCAACCTGTCATCAATAAAGCATATGTTGGAATATTGTTTGTATTGTATCCAAACTATACAAACTTAAATGTGTTTGTTAAGTTTCACAAATATCTATATCCAGTCAAATTCCCCACTTTGACATGACATTAGGTAAATGGAGAAAATTATTACGGTCTTCAAACATCTGGTCAAGCTTGGGTCATTGTCTTCAGGTGGGTTTTTAATACAAAATTGTGAATCTTTTCGTATATGACCTGCATAAATCGGGTGGCTTTACAGGTAGAAAATCTATATTTGTTATATAAGCAAGCTGATAACTAATGTATACAGCAAGTTTCATTATCCTTGTTTAAATGCAAGCCAAGTTAATGGCACGAAAATTTTAACAAAGCACAATATCTCTGTGAATAAGGAGTTACCGACCCTGACCCTGGTATACTGAACAGTCTTCGTTTGACCAGTGTATTACACTAAGTGTCATCATCCTAGCTTAAATATCTGGAACTTAAATGCATGCTCCGTACACAAAATTTCAGCAAAGGGCAATAATTCTGTAAATAAGGGGTTGCACGTCATAACATTAGTGCACTGTGCATCATTATAGTATGACCGATTCATATACCAAGTTTTACTTTATTAATTTAAATGTGAAGAAATTAAGATTCCAGACACAAAATTTAAACAAAGGGCAATAACTAAGTAATCGGGGTTGTGGGCCCCCTTAATTTTTAATACTGCACATTATCTTGGTATTACCAATATATACAGCTCATAAAGTTTCATGATCCTTGTTTACTTTTAGGCTCTGGATACAAAAGGACAGACAGAAAAGCAACAAAAAAGCAGCAACTGTATACTCCCAGTAAGAATGACAATATCTAAAACTGGTATCAGAAGCAACTGATATCCTATACTCATCTTAACCATGTAGATCAGTTGTTCCTATTCACACTGAAGTTACTCACCATCCCTGCATCTGCCATTATTCTCATCTCAAGCTGCAGGGAGTTCTTTTCACCCATGGCTCCCTTTTCAGCAATTCTAGGGGCAACAAATGTGCTGGTGGCAAATGCTGTGTTGCCTCGCCCCCCTTTGCCTCCATGTGCCCCTACATAATAATCATTTGGTTCATCCAGACAGGTAAGCTGTTCCCCATCACCACTATAAAAAACAGTACCTTGAGGTACCTATAAAGTATAAATATTTGTAACAGTAGTTAAACATATCAGAAAATGTTATCACCTGTATGATAACTAACTAGGGTAAGTGAATGCCATACCTGATATACACACAGTTAACTGTGGGACATGATATACAGTTAATGTTTTACTTACATCTGTAGGATATACAATGCTAAGGTTAGATAATGCCATACCAGGGACATCTGTAGGACATACACACATTTAACCAAGGTTAGAAAATGCTGTACCTGGGACAATTGTAGTATATACACACATTTAACTAAGGTTAGAGAATGCTGTACCTGGGACATCTGTAAGATATACACACATTTAACTAAGGTTAGAGAATGCTGTACCTGGGACATCTGTAGGATATACATACATTTAACTAAGGTTAGAGAATGCTGTACCTGGGACATCTTTAGGATATACATACATTTATCTAAGGTTAGAGAATGTTGTACATGTGTTAACAGTCAGTAAAATGAGAAAGGGGGAGACATAGAAGAACAAAATGAAGAGAATATGATGGCAGAGGGAAAGTAAAATTAGTATCAATTACCAAGAAATAACTTTCTTTAAAAAGTCATAGGTGTATTCTAAATGATACTTTTGCCATGACTTTTTCAGCTTGATCAGACGAAAGTGAATTTTCTCAGAGAAAATTCATCTCATTTTCATGTGAAGTAACAATACAATTGTTTTATGTTCTGTTCAACATTTTCTGTTGCCTAATGAAATTTTGGTGAAAATACCTAAGGGTGCAGTTAGTGTTGCCGAAAAGGATATTTGGTGAGGGGAATTAAACCAATCCTTTAACCTGTATCTGACAGAGAATGAGGTTAAAGGTCACTTCCCTTGTGTCTCCAGAGCACAAAATTCTTCTTTGTTAGAAGATGTCCAACCCATTATAGAGGGAAATTGTACCTGTATGAATGTTAATCTAACATCAGTTTAGGATATGATGACCATATACTATTTAATAAGTCCTTATTAACCTGAAGTTAAGGAATGCCATACCTGTGACACCCTTTTAACTAAGGTTAAGGAATGCCATACCTGTGACACCCTTTTAACTGAGGTTAAGGAATGTTGTACCTGTGACACCCTTTTAATTGAGGTTAAGGAATGCCATACCTGTGACACCCTTTTAACTGAGGTTAAGGAATGCCATAACTGTGACACCCTTTTAACTGAGGTTAAGGAATGCCATATCTGTGACACCCTTTTAACTGAGGTTAAGGAATGTTGTACCTGTGACACCCATTTAACTGAGGTTAAGGAATGTTGTACCTGTGACACCCTTTTAACTGAGGTTAAGGAATGCCATGCCTGTGACACCCTTTTAACTGAGGTTAAGGAATGCCATGCCTGTGACACCCTTTTAACTGAAGTTAAGGAATGCCATATCTGTGACACCCTTTTAACTGAGGTTAAGGAATGCTATACCTGTGACACCCTTTTAACTGAGGATAAGGAATGCCATACCTGTGACACCCTTTTAACTGAGGTTAAGGAATTTTGTACACAACTGTGAACTACACATATATTTCACTTATGTTATCTACTCACTGATACAAAGGTGTGCTGACCACTCTTGCCCTGGGAGTTACGTTTTGCACCATTCCGTCCATCTACAGCAGCCACCTGTCCTGGAACTTTCGCCAAGGACTTCACATTTTCATTCACTAATCAAAGGTATAACATTATGAAGTGATCAAAATGATGACATAGCTACACATGGTATGGAATTATTTGGAAAGCAGGCAGTTAATTTGATGTCAAGTATTGGTATACAATTGTCAATACACTTCTTTCTTCAAATGGTATTATTTTATAATTAATTCATTCCCTACGTAATGTTGTAGTTTATCAAAACCCACTGGAAATATTATACATGTATGTGTACTGATACTACTTTTGATAATAATGTTAATTCATTCTGTTCATTTTGGTTTGTTATATCCCTGTAGCAAAATGGTCATATAAAAGTGACACAAATATTCATCACTTCTTACACACTTTTATCTATTCATAGTTTAACAAAAAGCGTCAAGGATTTCTAAAGAAAAACAAAATAAAATAAACAAACAAACAACCTTGAAAGATAACATGACCTCCTGAACCTCCATTTCCCCCGTCAGGTCCAGCAAATTGGTTGTGTCGAGTACTGGCGAAGGACACCACGCCATCGCCCCCTTTACCACCACTAACCACACAAGCATGCCAGTCGACAAAATATGATGGCTAAAACAACAAATTTAAAGTAGATATTAATTAAAATCACCAGATTTTTTCCCTGCTGTTCATTGTTTTATCACGGAGTGCAACATACTTTTATATTGTTTAAAAATATGTATAATTTTCTCTCTTTCACAACCATATGATTGTTAAATTATATTGCAATTAAGATGACCATCTTTCCTTAAAGAACCACCTCCCATTGTTAAATTTTCAAAACAGAACAAAAGAAATCAAATTTTTAAAAGGCATTATTGAAACAAAAGGCCTATAGGCTTTAACAGCATCCACAACCCAGATTTAGACACTATAATGGGTATCTCTTTGGGAATGAAATTAGAAACCAGAACTTTTCTACAACCCCTGGAGATGAACCTCATTAATGTGAGAAATTGTTTCCTCCCTGATGTATAAGACTAATTTTGGTTGAAATCCTCTCAGGTGTTCAGGAGGACTTAGCTACATGTAACCTCCCCTCTGTCTCCAAGGGTTGATTGTACTAACTTCATGTATCAAAAAATGACTGTCCTCAACCATTATATTTCAGATCAAATTCGGTTGAAATCTGCTGAATTAATTGGGAGGAGAAGGGTTTTAAAGAAAAAAAAAACAAAAAAACAGATGTTGCACAATTACAGATGAAGTATGATTTGAATACATTAAGGCATGGTGACTTGTAAAGTTTTTACCAGGCATGGTGACTTGTAAAGTTTTTACCAGGCATGGTGACTTGTTAAGTTTTTACCAATCAGAATAGTGCTTTCTTTTATTCACTGCATTAAAATTCTCCATTTTTGTGTTTGTTGGCAAATGGGGCCATTTTAGGTTAAATAGGTGGAATTGTCACCAAATCTTTGCTGTGTACCAAACTGCAGGTTTTCTTTGAATTTGTATCTGCGATTTCTAGCAAAGAACAGCATAGAAAGGTAGGATATGGAGTATAGTGACCGATACAAAATGAAGTTATTTGTTGTCAAACATAAACTGATAACCGTCAGATGTTAGTTAAAGTATATGGTAATGCTTCCTACCCCTTCTTCTGACTTGTTTAATATTTGCATCAACATTTTGTATTTTAAAAATGTAAATGAAAAAAATAAATTTTCCATTAAATATAATATATTTTTCACTTATACAACAGAATAATACATATGTATTGATATTTTTCACTTGTATATCTATTCTGTCAAACTTATGAAATAGATGATACTACATTGTATAAATAGTAAACCAATTAATATTCTCTATATATTTCCTTATGATCCACTGTTTTATACAAACTTGGAGTTAGAATTTGAAAAATAACATTTGATATTATACAATAATTGCTTTTTCAAGGTTTAGACGAAGGACATGTTGACCTGAAAAAATTGATATTTCCCAAGGCTGCAGGTCGAGGTAATATCACTTTTCTAGGACAGACAATTCCTTTTATATACCTTAATAAGTCATTAACTGTTTTGCTATATGCCACTGCATTTATGATGTTAAAACTAAAAAAAATTTATTTTAGTCTATTTGTTATCAATTTGCGATGATATCCTTGCATCACGGAAATTCCCTGATACAGAATGTAGTACTAGTTGAGACTATTAAGTTGTGTAATAGAAATCCTGTTACTATTTTTAATCTACTTTATCAGTCTACGATGATTTACTATTTCTAATCTAGGTTATCAATTTATCAGTTTGTGATATCTTCTTGTGTAGGACTTTGTCAGTTTCAGGTTAACAGTGCATTCTGTTAAAACCTGAGGGATATTTCTAAGCCAGTCACAGAAGCGAGATTTTCAATGTTACGTAACTCATTCAAATCCCTCAATCATTTTTTTTTTTATGAAAATAGAAAATATCTAGTAAGATATTACATAAATGGATTCAATCATTATTCTTGAGTAAGGCATTATTCCGATATCAAAATTCTACCTATGGCTGTTAAAAAAACGGTGATAATTCAATTTGTACTTTGTAGAAATTCTATAAGCCATTTGAGTTTCTAATTAAATACTTCATGCAAATTGATTTTAATTTTTCCTACCTCTTCCACATCCAAGCCTTTGGGTTTAGTGGTAAATACAGGAAGTGCTATTTTGGATGCGTGTCGCTTCACCATCTTTAATGGGATATTCAGACCCTGTTGTATATACAAACGCTGCACACAGTATGTCATTCTCTGTAACAGGACCATCTTCAACCTTTGGTTTTAAAGAAATAAGAAAGAAATTATCATAAAGTTATCTTCTTTATACATAATTGAAAATACTGAAAGTGAATGAGGTAAAAATGTTGTAAAAACAAAGGGCAAAAACTCTGCCCAAAATTATATATGACAATCAATGCCATTAAGCAAAATACAATTTCATATAATGATTACAAAGTCTGCTTTGATTCAGAAATGTTGGTAAAAACATGAGGAAGGAGATCTCAATACAAAATTAAAATGCTAATAAAACAAGCGCAAGAATTCTTCAAAATTGTTGAAACACAGCTTCACGTCATGGTGATTAAGAATACCAATGAGAAACACAATTAATATTATGAAAACAACAAAGGGCAATAACTCTTCCAAAAACAGTTGAATCATATTGCTGTTCAGGAAAACACAACTCCATATCATTTTGATTAATCCCACCACATTTGGAAAATATCATTTTAAAACACAGGATTCAATGATTTCTGGAGAATACTAGGATTATGAAAACAGCATAGGGTAGTAACTCTTCCAAAAACAGTATCATCATATTTATCATTTAATGAGCTTAACATCCAGTTAAAATTAACACTTTTTCGCCTTTCACCACACAAAAAAAAATATATTATCCATGACATATAAGTGCACAGTGTTCACTTCCGCCTATCTGCAAAGCAGTTTTCTGGTTAAAACTTGGTAGCATGAACATTTTCACAATATAGAATTAATTATATTATGAAAATCTGGCATTGTTCCCTATATCCCATAGTTTGGAAATATCATAATTTGAGCTTAAAAATGATAAAACATCAGCAAAATATGAATGATGGAAATATTTTCATTGCGACAATGGAGAATAAATACAAGGAGAATAAAACCAGGTGTTCCAGAGGGATAAGCAACTTCTGCTTAATTGATGATGCCTGCCATGTATATCTAGGTCAATCCAAGGAAAATGTTTGGTTTTCAAATGAGAAAAGATAAGGTTTATAACAATAAACCCACTAAGGAAACTTTGCAGCATTGAATACATTTAATGTACAAGGAAATAGAATATTTCCAAATGTGATCATGCATCATAACAACAAGCATAATTTGATAAAAACTTCCTCATAGTCTTAAAACTTTCCCTTAATCTCCATCAACTTGCATCTTTTAAAAGCCTATGGTGTCAGTTTTTCTGATAGCTACATCAATATCACTAAATACTGGAAATTTTGATGAAGGGTCCACATTGAATGTTGAATCAGCTATTAATTGTAAACACCAAAGGATAGGAAATTAAGCATATAAGGCACTATCCAGAAATGGAAATTTCACAATAAGGAAATTAAAAGTTATCATGCTTAATTAAATATCATGTAATAGTTGTGAAAGCCGACATCCCTGCTGGATGCATTTTAAGTAAAGATACAGGAAAAAGACTAGTGTTGAAGTGTCATTGTTTTACAGTACATTTCAGATAGTATATCAACCTGCGTGCATATTGGACAGTAACTTATTAAATATTTTTAATCAATGAACAAACAGATGTATATTTCGCAACTGGAAATCCAACTGTAAGTCAGAAGCTTTTAAGCAATGTTTAACAGTAACAGTGAGGGGATTTGTCTAAAAGATGGCGATATGTGTTAAGGTTAGTGGAGGGACATTGATTGCAGACATAATTGACTAATTGGTTGGAATCGGTCGATACAATTTTGCTCATTATAGTCGGTTTCACCATCCTTATCTACCTGGTATTCTGTTTGTTTGTGTTGTATCATTCTTTTTTAGTGTCAAAGTAATTAAATGTTGTAAAAATGTTTCCGCTAATTTTCACTAACAACCATACATTCTAGCATATTTACAATGGCCGTCATCAAACGAAATCTCTCTAGAATTCTGGTTGTAAATCTACCAGTGTTGCCAATCTCGTGAGAATTCCTTATTTGGTATGTTTACAGAGAAAAGTACGGATATTTCTTAAATTTGCTGATTAACTGAGTATGAACAACACAATCAATCATTGGAATCATTTTTTTTCTCGTTGGTACACCACTAGGCAAGGTATAGATAGGATCTGTGCACCAGAAAGAACAATCAACACAAATATTTCATGAGGAAATTCAATTTTTTCCAAGACATATAAAAAAAATCATTGTGATAATTTAGACAGGTAATTGTGATCTGAGGGTGAAAAAAAAGCAAACTTACAAACCAGTCTGTGTCAAGGAAATTAAATTGTAAATTATCCTCCATTTATCATTCAATTGTACACAGCAGTTCAAAATAAAAATAGAAGTAAGTTTATATTTCTCAAATGCCCATTTAACATATTTAATATCTTAACTGACAAGGTCACCCTATATCCAGAGTAATACTTGGCCAATTAGCATGAAAGTTAACAGTCTGAAGAAATAAGACTGCTGAATCAGCGAAATGGAACTCGTAAATTTAGTCTGGACCAAATGAAAGAAAGATTTAAAAGACAAACAGAACAAACAGGTACAAAGGGACTTTATAACAGACGTCCGTAAAATAGCTACTGGTCAGAACGATGTTGCTCGTATGTTTTAATTGTCAGTGATAGAGTACAAATCACATCAGTCCTCTAATAAGTGCAATGACATCATGTAAAGGAAGGAAACAAAGTTGTCATATACTCATGAAAGATTACTGCCTGTCAGCCATTAAGTTTCTCGGATCAGTCCCAAGACATGACAAGGCACAACTACGTACCAAAGAAATACATACAGAGTTTGAAAACGCCATCCAGATCTTGTCAAGAAATAATGATAACAAATACTATTTAAGTGCTAATGGGCAATGGATCCATGGACAAATGGCTACACCAATTTTTTTTAACAGTCAAGAGTCAGAGTGTCAATACATAAGCCGTGTTGATCCAGGAAAATAAGGTTTCAACCAATCATGGGACATAACCATCTAGTTAAATATATGCGGAGGAATATGTAACTAATGTCTTATATGATAAAATTAGTGATATATATATCATTTATCACTATTTCTATTACAGATTGATGCGACATGCTCCTGTACAAATCTACATTTCAGAAATGTTGTCATGTTGATGGTTTACCCAGAATTATTCTGCTATGTCATTTGATATATCTGATTGGAGTCAATAAATGTCAGAATTCTGTCCCTGTAATGAGTGAGAGAAATAAGCAAACCATGCATAGCTAGAGGTGGGCATTCAAATGACCATTGCGGAAAGAGGTTGTCATTTTCACACACATATTGCACATGAATCTAAACGTCTATTATTTACATGGCCCAGAAGTGAAGTGGAAGAGGGGAGAACAAAATGTTGTTTACATTACTGTCCGAATGTTTTCGAATGCACATGTGAAAATGTTTTCCCCACAATTATCATTTGAATGCAATATCATGCTCTGGTCCCTCATTTCACTATCTTTTTAAAGTGACAAAGTTCTCGCGTTCATCGACTTCATGCCGCTATAAAAAGTTGATAGAAAGAAAGTGAAAATGATACGGATTAGTTTAAGGTTCTTAACAGGTTTCTTCTTCAAAATAATGTCAAGCTGTCATTAGATTGACGATTGTGTGATGTGTTGGAATGCGTATATCGGAATTCTTGTTTGTTTTGTTTTGTATGTGTGTGTGTGTTTGTCTGTTTATTTTTTTTAATGAACTATGTACATAGACTAATTCAGGTTTCGAATGCACTGGAAAGTTACGACACAGGAAGGGCAGCTTTATCAGCTTCCACTGTATCAGCTTAAATGATATTTCTGCTTGGCAAGATGTCTACAGTATGTATTATAAACTGAATATATTAAAGCGAAGATAGCATATGGTCAATCTGCAGCACTGACGCAATCGCTAGTGTGAAATAATAGCGCATGCCGTTTCAACATAGTTGTTCACTTACTGTATGATGTTCACGATAATAACACGTGAGTGATTCCATGTGAAGTCAAAGGTCAAGGTTGAAAAGGGAAAAAGCCATAAATCCGAATATTATCTACTTAATTCCAGAGAATGGGTAATCAACCAATTTCTATTGAATGGAAACAAAAATTTGGATAAAAAGTGTAATAAAAAACAAAGTGTTCATAAATAATTCTCGAAAAGTATTTCACTTTTTAAAAAAGAAATATTCACTGCGGTCCTACAACGTATGATAGAGGTCATAGTTCACCACAGCAGGCTGTCAGAAACCGGAGAAGATGGTGCTAAAATCAGAAGAGGATATAATCAAATATTCTATGACCGAGGAGGATGTTAACTCCAACGCTCAGATTGTCACTGCAGAAGAAGTTTCCGGGCCAAGATGGGGACCTCAGCATGCAGGAGCAAAGGAACTGGCCAGGCAATACACAAAAGGTTTTGTTTGCTGTTGCTAACATCCATGAATCATTTCGATTTCCAGCCTGACATGCCGTAAAATTAACGAGTCAGTTAAGTTTCAGTTTTATGATCAAACGATGCTCAAATATGGTCAACATGTATATAATTAAAGATTGTGAACTCTGAGCATTTTTTATGAGGCAGATTCAAATTTATGTTTGTGTCATGGTGACAGTGTGCTCATGACCTACCGCTGATCACTTACAGACCTCCAGCTCAGATCAATATAAATCAGTTACGATAATTAATTTAAATAGTTACCAACCAAGGTACGATTAATTGCAAATTATATGTTCATTATTAGAAAATTCAATTGATGGTGGCTCTACACATAGACTTTGCTTATGGTCCTTTTTAGTAGCTTTATCAGTAATATCGTGCTTACGTAATTTATAACTTTTGTGACCATTTCGGTTGCATTTTTTTCGAAAGCACAATCGAATGAGAGGAAAACGTTAGATTAATAATTCAAATAACAACCAATATCCACAGCAGACATTTTTCTCTAACAGTCAATTTTGTAATGATTTAAAGCTTTAGACTGTATATGCAACGTGTTTAAAATTCTAGTCTTTCAATAGAAGCAGAAGAAAGAAAATGACAGTTGATTTGAAATGGACCAAACAAATTTTTCTGTATTCAGTAGTTCTACTATTACTCTCGTAATACACTATGAGTGTTTATGAAATCTTTCCTTTTTGAATGATATCCAGAATTTGTTATATAACCTGAGGTTGAAGTTTCTTAAATAGGATGATATAATAATACATTAAGTCTGGATTAAGCTGTCTAGTTTCCCCTGTAGGAGCAGCATTAAATGAAAAAACACCAGGTGATATTTAAGCATTTATCAAACCCATAGAAAATTATATAAACTTATATGTTCTTTTTTCATCTCTTTCTGATAAAAGTTTGATGATTTACTTCATTCCAAGATTCAAAATTGTTGAATATGTACATTTATTGGAAGCAGGCATTGTTGCAATGCTGTTTATATCCATATCATAACTAGTATATACATATTTTAGTTTATAAAATTGCATAATCTTACTTAACATTTGTTCATTAATGATTAAGAAAAATGTAGCTTGAAATTTATGCATTTATATATTTTGTTTACATATTTGTGTGAATTATGCAAAGGTCAAGTAAGTGCTAACTGGCAGGTGCAATATCTTCAATGGAATGAAATTGGATAAAAATTATCTTCAGTGGAATGAAATTAGATTAAAAATTAGAAGTGCATGGTGAATATGCATAATTAGAGAAAATCTATAAAAAATATATTTTTAGTTCCTTGTTGCAAAAGAAATACATGTATGATTACACATATTGCGTAATGCTTTCTAAAAGTGACAATGAGACATGCATAATATACATGTGACATGTCATAATCATTTGTCATAACACTTGAAGTACATGTACTTCCTGTCTGTATATCTGGGCTTACTGTTATGCCCAATTACCCAATATAACTGATGAAGTAGAGATGGTTACATCAGTTCAGACAAGAGTATATATTAGTTAAAACGAAAACAAATTATAATATGAAATCTACTTATCATACTTTATATGTGTATTATAGTGAGCTTATGCCCTGGTGTGGCATCTGTCATCCATTCTCAACTTTTCCATTTAAATGACTTCTTATCAATAACCAAAAAGACTCCGGGTACTGATATTGTGCCTCTAGCATGCTGGGATGAAAGGCTACCAAGTTATTAAAAAAAATGACCTTAACCCACTTTCAAAGTCACAAGGGTCAAATGTGTTTTAATCTGGGAACAACTTCGCAATTTAAAACCTTTCTGGAGTGAAGGGCGCTATACAGTTTGTTCAAGTGAATGATCTTCATTCATTTCAAGGCCAAAGGGGTTAAATATAGTAAGAACGTAAAATATCTTCTTTTCAATAATCTATTGGCTTTTTGTCATGGTAAATTAGGTTGCTTGTCAAATGGCTTTTCAGATTGCAGATATTGACTTAACAAATGGAAAATGTCTTCTTTGTAAGCTGAAGAACAGATGAGCAGTTCAGGCCTATGGGGCCTCTTTTTAATGGAGATTGTCTTACTGATCAATGAAAGTGTCATTTCATTGACTTTTAATGTTCGATACTGATACAGTAGAGAACTGTATAAATATACAAGTAGCTCAGGGTACACAAAATTTGTTTCGGTACTATGCTGTCTCTCGAAACATGATAATATCAGTAGGTGAAATTGTGAAGTAATGGCGAGTTGATATCGTGCCTGAAACTACCACAGTGTATAGCTCCCTGCACTAACATGATAAAAAAATCAATCAAATTATATGCAGAAACATCATTTATATTAATGAAATCAATGCAAATTGAATGATAACATGTCAGACTAATAGGGTTGTGTAATCGTGTTTATCATAAATACCAGTGTCGATACGTACATATGTTTACAACTGTTCACGTCCACAATTACTCGTATAACATAAAGTGGGTGCCGGCTGTTAAGTTATTGGATATTGTGCTGATTGTACATTTTATTTCCCAAGTTTTTTTTCTGTCGATTGTAGCTTTTATTTCCCTAGCTCTTTTTCTTTGAAACTTGTCCCAAAATCTGGGTAGTTTCAGTAATATCACAAATCACTGTCTTGTCTTTTCATTAGTGTTCAAATAGGGAGATTTGTTTCTGTCGATGAAGGAATACGTTGTTTAACATATGTCTGTGAAGATTTTGTAGGGAAGTATATTCTGTAGTGTGTTAAAAACACAGTTTTATTTCATTATTAAAGTTCAAGTTAGAAATATAGCATGTCTTATAACTACAAGGGGTATGCATGGGACATGACGGGCGAGCGGATTTAGTTGACATTTTAGGTGTTTGTTTAAAGGCTAGACGTCAACCTGTTGGCAGTATATTTTCCAATACATTAGTTTTGTATGAATTATTTGCATATATATACATTGTAGTCATGATCACATATGTTAAACACACATATCTATTACAATTGATGGTGTATCTATTCAAGATCATTGTCTTTGGTACAGTATATTAACCGACTTATTTCTGTGTGTCTGTGTCTTTGTTTTAAAATATTAATGGTAAATTAGATCAATACAATGTATGTAATGGGTAATCATTCAGCTTACCCATAATGATGTTAGAAGCTTTTGATAAAAAATTATTTGTAGATGCAAATAAGAATATTGTTCGCTGCTAAGTTAGTGCTTTACATGTAGAAAAGTTGTGTTTGCAATGTTTATTCTTCACGGGCTAAAAATTTGTGTAAATCCCCCCTGTTGAAGCCTGTACAGGGTAAAACATGTGGATGGGTGTAATGAATTGAAGAACTTGGGAGCTGTTTTAGTTGTTTAACCCTTGACTAATAGGAATCATTGCCCTGTACTCTTATAAGATCAACACTCATTCAAAAGTTTTATACACAATATAAGACATATATCTACAATCCTCCACTAAACAAAATGTTGTATAACAATACATATGTAATCATTTATTATCTTGTAGCTAAATATGCCCTTTGGACCACATGCTTTGTCATTGCAGTAAATACTTCAGATGTTTATATACAGAACTTGAGGCTATACAGGCCCTTTATGCCATGTTATAAAAATAAATACTGCGATGTTTAAATACACAAACTAGTAAGACATATGGGCCATTTGGACCACATGTTGTCACAATAGTTAAAACTGTGTCAAGTACTGTATAACATTAAATCATTGAGGCTGAAAGGCCCTTTTAACTAGGCTATACATGAAGACCTTGTGGACCATGTTTTGTAACAATAAATACTGGAGTGTTTAGTTATGAAATAGGTTAAATATAGGCCCTATAGACAAGGTTATATCCATTTGAATCACCTGTTCAAATCATTAAGGTTTTGACAGACTGTTATTCAGACAATATCTGCAAAGATATATCTCACACTGTCTCGGTTTAGATCTTGATAGCCATTTGCTTAACTTTATACATGAAATATATACTATACATTTAGGGTACATTATGATACCCTTTGGGCCACTTGCTGGTTGTAGCAGGCCTTTTTGACCTCTTGATGCAACATCACATACTGATGCTGCAGTATCTTTGATACATAATGTAATAAAGCTATTACGAGTCCTTTGGGCATTTTTAGGTTAATACTGCATAGTGCTACCTATCTCTTAAGCACCAATGTCTGCATTGCAGTAGCTATAGAGACTGATGGGTATGGGGTGAGTGAACTGATGTGTATGAGGATTAAATAGAATGAATGGTGCTTCTGTCTGTCGATTGGGATAGACAGTGGATTATAAAGTGATGGGGGAAAGGAAGGGGTACAAATCAGGGGGGAGGGGGTACAAGTCAGGTGATGTGGGGGGGGGGGGGGTAAAGAAAAGGAGTATAAGTCAGGTGATGGGGGAAGGCAGAGGGTACAAGTCAGTTTATGGGGGTCGGGGGGGGGGAGAAAGAGGGTATAGGTCAAGTGATTGGGGAAGGAAGGGGGTATAGGTCAGGTGAGGGGTGTGGGGTAAAGAAAGGGTGTATAGGTCAGGTGATGTGGGGGAGGGAAGGATGGGAATACAAGGTGATAGGGGCAGGAAGGGATTACAAAGTCAGGTGATGTAGGGGGGGGGGAGGGAGAAGAAAGGGGGTATAGGTCAGGTGATGTAGGGGGGAGGAATGGGGTACAAGTCAGTTGATAGGGGCAGGAAGGGATTACAAAGTCAGGTGATGTAGAGGGGGGGGAGGGGGAAGAAAGGGGGTATAGGTCAGGTGATTGGGGAAGGAAGGGGGTACAAGTCAGTTGATAGGGGCAGGAAGGGATTACAAAGTCAGGTGATGTAGGGGGGGGAGGGAGAAGAAAGGGGGTATAGGTCAGGTGATGTGAAGGGGGGAGGAAGGGGATACAAGTAAGGTGATAGGGGCAGGAAGGGATTACAAAGTCAGGTGATGTAGGGGGGAAGGGAGAAGAAAGGGGGTATAGGTCAGGTGATGTGAAGGGGGGAGGAAGGGGATACAAGTCAGTTGATAGGGGCAGGAAGGGATTACAAAGTCAAAGTTAGGTGATGTGAAGGGGGGAGGAAGGGGATACAAGTAAGGTGATAGGGGGAAGGGATTACAAAGTCAGGTGATGTGGTCAGGTGATGGGAGGAAGGGGATACAAGTCAGTTGATAGGGGCAGGAAGGGATTACAAAGTCAGGTGATAGGGGTAGGGGGATTACAAGTCGGGTCATTGGGAATGGAAACTAGTCAGTCAGGTGAAAGTCATGAGAGTAAATAACAGATCAGCTTGTGTTGTCTCTATAGGAAATCTGAAATCAGTGTTACTGTTCTAATTAACAACATACACCTGAACAACTGATATACATGTATATTTGTATATTATGATGCTGGTGTCACGATGACTGAGGGATGAGTAGCACCACTCGAGATCAGGGTTCAGTGGTACATGTCTATGCAGATACATACCATAAAACATGTGTGACCTATTATAGCTGTAGTATAACAATGTGTGTGCTGTCAGGAGGAATTCGAAATCAATACAGTTGGATAGACATTGATTACTTACAAAGAAACATATATACCAAGGAATTCATGAATGACTTTGATCATACAGCCATTTCTCATAGGAATTCAATAGTTTGGTAGGTGTTTGACTGCCAAAGGATGGTGCCACATACCACCTGGTGCTAACACTTGTTAATGTGTGCTGTCGCTGCCAATGACAGTTTGGTCTTGTTGTAACTTGGTTTAGGTCCTCGCAACAGCTAGGGCCATATCAATATGGTTGTACAAGAGACTTCAAGTAAATTACACAGTTACTGTATACCTTTGTGGATTTTGTTATCAGATATAGATGTCTTTACATAGCAACATCTCACGCTGCATAGGCTGGAACAGTTATTTTTTTATGATGTTTTTTGGTGAGTCAGATAGCCATTTAAATTTTTTTTTTGATGAGTTGATATATTCAGTGATACCACAGGATCCTACAGGAAAAGCATATTGGTCCAGAACTCAAATAGGGTATATAGTTCCCCAAAAATCCCTGCTGGGACTTGTGAAATATTAGGGCTGGCAATCTAGAACACTTTTATGTCAACCAACCCTATTAATCATTTGAACATAGTGCATATGGATGCCAGGACACAGCAAGTCATTCTAACAAATTTGCTATGAATCAAATGACCACAAAATAGTGTTTTTTTTTTTTTTTATTTGAAAAACCATGAAAATTGAGCATCACAAAAAAAACTTAATTGGCAGTATTTCCATATGGCTCAGTGTTTTATTTAATGCATTTCCTGAATTTTGTGGATAAATTTATATAGCTCAATGATAGTTTACTGCATCAACAAAATAAGCAAAAATTGTGTAATATATTTATACAGGTACCTAGCATAAATAATCCCATCCATAACGCCACCCAACACAATACAGCAGAACATTAATAGCCTTACATACCGGTCTTACCTGTGTGGCATATGCACATTCATTTGTCAATGTGTTACAACAAAATAAAATTTTAAACCGATTCAATGAAACTACATACACGTATATCCTGTACATAACATAATTGTTAGGTGTATTTATAGATCTAAGGTTAAGACACTTTCAATTACGTGGCACAGTACATACTACATTAAGTCTGAACTCTTCTGTAACTTTTAATCTCCTTACAAGTATTAACATTCAGCATGGTAGTCCTGAAACATGTCATTGAAGCAAGGTCAGGGGTCACTTAATTTGAAAAGAAAAAGTTGAAGATGGACATGCTATTAATTAGCTATTGAATTCTTTTCTAATTTGAATGAAACATCCTAAAATTTGTGTAGGTAAAAGTAGGTAAACCCATGGATCTCTGTCGAACCAATTTGACATGCAGCAGATTGGGCTGGAGAGCAAAAAAATAAAAAAGAAAGTCAAATAGACTCAAATTTAAAAAAAAAATCTTTTTAAATTCCAGATATTGTAGAATCATATGCTTTTCATCAATTTTACAGTCTAAAGATGCCTCACCAGAATTGTGGATTTCATAGTCCATGGTTCTCACATTTCCCCCTGGAGGTGGGATAAATTGACTATAGTTCATAAAGGAAAACTACATTTTTGAGCATGATTTGTATATCTTCCATTGGAAATAACTTTGCACTGAGTGGCTATTGATTAATGCAAATGTTTGAATTTCTTGGTTCTTGGTCAAAGATGAAAACTGTAAACACATATTTTGAAAATATGAAGCATGAAATGCTGCGTGTATGTCAGTTTTATTTTTCATTTGATTTTGGTTGAAATGTTTATAAAATGAACTGTGTATTTACATGATATACTTTTATATGGTATAGAATTTTGTGGTCCTTTGACCCAGATGTAGAGTTGGTGGCATGGATGACATTTAATCAATTGACCTGTTTTTATTTGTGTAATTCCAGGCAAGCGTATACAGGAGACCATAGGTATCGTGATCAGCATCATCTTGATTACCTACAACTTCATCATGTTGTGTTGGAATTTCCAGCCTGATCTGTGGTACTACATCATTGCATATGCATGTAAGTGTAATAGTGTATACGCTTTACTTAAAGTGCAGCACACAACTCTATCACTTACCATGTTTATCTCACAATGCACCCACTTACACAGCTAAATATCTGTTTAGTTGAATTATCAACTAATTCTGTTTCAATATTCTGTGATAATTAAATCCAGACTTTGGGTTAGAGGTTATGTTTTTACTCCCTTGGTTGATAGAAGGATAAATACATTTTTTGAACTGTTGTTGATTTAGATGTCATTCCTGTCAATGATGTACTGGTACTTTTATTTCATGGTCCAATGGATCAGGTTTGGATGAATCCAACATCAGAGGAAATAGGGGAGATTCCCTTTGACCTTTATGAGCTGTGCTTTGTAAGTACAGATTTACATATATTGCCATGGTTCTCTTTTTGTTTTCCAGTCCTTGGGATTTTGACTGCAGATTTTCTGAGTGGACTAGTCCATTGGAGTGCTGATACATGGGGATCAGTGGAATTACCCATCATAGGAAAGGTGTGTACACTGTTAGGACATGTGTAAATACATATTAGGGATTATAATTACACGTCATCTCTACTATATAGATAAGCTAGGAAGAATTAAAGAACAATAAAACTCATCTGTTACCTATCTCTAGCATTATTATTGTTACTATAGCGATGACATTCCTTGTTAAAATTACCTCTTTCTGAAGAATCATGTTGTTTGTAAAGGACAGCATATTTAGGTCGTTTGTCTCATAGTGACCTATTGCAATCATCTTTTGGCATGTGCCTGCACACTTTTAACATTTTGGACTTCTCCAAAAAAAACTGGAACTGATTTCAATTAAATTTTGTAGAAACACCTTCCCTTGCCAAAGATGAGTGAAGTTTTAGGGTACTTAACCCTCCACTCACCCAGCCACTAGCTGACATTCTAAGGGCTTACAACATCACATAAGTCTTACTATCATCAATGTCAAAACTACTTACCCTGTAACCCTTATATTCAATATTGCTTGATTGAGGTGACCATCAAGGCTGCAAGGCTCTTGTTTAGCTTAATTCAAGAATCTGGGTAAGACAGTCAAATGGGAATCAAAACCAAAATATAAGCATTGGACTTCCTTGTTATGAAAAATGCTTAATGATGCCAACAAACCCTTTTTATGTTCCTTATGATAAGTTGTGTAATGGTGATATGATGTAAGATATTATGTTGTGTTATCTAATGTTAAATGGCTGTTTATCCGCCTGTTCAAGGGACATAACCATGCAGTAATATTGATCCTCAACTGATTATATACACTATATTATACATCAGTGTATACTGGCATTTATTCCTCATTTCAAGAGCATGGCATTGACCCTACCTCAGATTATTTATATTGTTTCAATGTACTGTCTGCTTTGGTAGCATCACATTGACCTCACCTTTGATTTTAAATGATTTTTCAATATTTGTCAACATTTATCCCCTGGGTTTAATGGGTCTCACATTGATCCACCTCGGTTTTAAATGATGTTTATAAACATTCCTCTACCTGCTCTAGGAGCCGCAATGTTCCCAATCTCAGGTCCTAAGTGATATTTCAATGTTTATTTAAAGACATTTATCAGCCTTTTCCTAGAGCCTCACATTGATCCACCTCAGATTCTAAATGATGTTTCAATGTTTACAGGCACCTCAGGTTTTTTTGTTCCATCATTTGCTGACATTTAATAGCCCAATTTAAGGGCATCACATTGACCCCCACTTAGATTTTAAATGATGTTTCAATGTTTACAGGCATTTATCCGCCCGTTCCGGGAGCATCACATTGACCCCACCTCTATCACCAGGCATGATTTTATTGAGACCAATGGGGACAACTTCTCTGTGACAATCCCATTGATGGCTCTCTCAGCCTACAAGTTCCTTACATATAATCCTGCAGAGATCCGCGAGACTTATACCTTTGAGTGCTACCTCTTTCTTCTGACTATCTTTATAAGTGTCACTAATCAGGTAAGTCTTATATCCACATGCAATAGTTCAAATGTTTAAAGCCCCTATAGAACTGTCGTCATAGTTACAAGGTAAGAGTTTCCATGTATAGTCCTGTAGGTACAGTGTAGTAGTTTCTCAGTGTAGTTCTGTAGACATAGTTACAGGGAAGTAGTTCTCTGTGTAGGTCTCTAGTTATAATTACAATGTAGAAGTTTTCCTGTGTAGTTCTGTAGACATAGTTACAGGGTAGTAGTTTCTCAGTATAGTTCTGTAGACATAGTTACACGGTAGTAGTTTCTCAGTGTAGTTCTGTAGACATAGTTACAGGGAAGAAGTTCTCTGTGTAGGTCTCTAGTTATAATTACAATGTAGAAGTTTTCCTGTGTAGTTCTGTAGACATAGTTCCGTGGTACTGATTTTTTTGTGTAGTTGAATGGTACCATATCGTCTAGCAAAGAAATTTCAAAATGCCTTACCATTACACTACCAGGACATCCTCCAAAAAATATGTTTGGAAGATGTACTCTTAGAATATTTCAAATTTTTTTTCAAGATGGTTTGTTTTGAGGCCAGGATGAGTCAAAAAAAATTTTGTTGATCAATAAAACTGTCTCTTGTTTTCAGTGTCACAAATGGTCCCATACCTACTTTGGCCTTCCACGATGGATCACACTTCTACAGGACCTTCACATTGTGTTGCCACGGAAACACCACCGCATCCACCATGTAGCACCTCATGAAACTTACTTCTGTATTACCACTGGCTGGCTTAATTTACCACTTGAGAAGATCCGTTTCTGGAGCACATTTGAGTATCTTATAGAGGCTACAACAGGTAATAAGCCTCGGGCTGATGACCTCAGATGGGCCAAAAAGACGAGTTAATGGAGGTTTTTTCATTATGTGGCTTATGTTAAGTTTAACATTTTAAAAATTGATTTTATTCCTTATTTCACAGTTTTACACAATCATCTCTCATTGATTTTTTTTCTCATTGTTATTTTCTTATTTTCTGACCAATTTGGAATATTATTAGAATGTCGGTATATACATTTAGGTTTTATTTTTTAAAAATTGTCTGTGAAAGAAAACTGTTGCCTTTGATGGATGAATTCAATCAAAATGAAATTGATCCTACATGTGGATTCATGTACATAGCATACTTTGCTTCTGCAAAATCATGAATAAATCTTATGATTTAAATCTTATTTACAAACCTTCATTTATTGTAAATGACAGGGTATGACAAATTAATTTTCAAACATGCCTTTTTTCCCCCATTTATTTAATGTTTCAGAAATTCTTTGAATTAAATCAAATATATACTTTGGTAGTGTGCTGTTTTTTAAAGCAGCAGAAAATGAAATTGATTTTTTTATAGTACAAAAGGCGCAAGAATATGATAAATACAGTATTGAAAAGCATAAAGAATTGCCAGTAAGTTTAAATCACATTAAGCAGCATTTATTCTACAACGTAAAATAAGTTGAACTTGTGGATTTGAGGTCCTTTAGATCTGAGGCAGTAATTACAAAAGTTCATTTTTATGAAACAAATAAGCTTAATTATGAAAAATTTAAATAAAAGAAGTCTGTAAAATGCTGCATATACCTTGTATTATGAAATGATGAGTAAAAAATGACAGAGGAAGATGAATATTAAGTTTTTGTCGCTGTCCGCCTTTAGTTAATATATATGTGATCTCTAGTGCTTTGATCAATCAATTCAGCATTATGTAGATTTTATAGATATTGTTTATGTATGATTATCTAACTCATCTTTTAAATCAAAATTATTTCATTATCATTTTTATATCTTTTCTTGCTGTATATTAAACTGATGTATGTAAAAGTGCTGTCCAATTAATTGCTCTTGAACACTTGCAAGGTTCAGTTTTAACAATAGGGAAAGTAAAACTTACAGAATACCTTTGAACAGTCATTTTGTACAAGTGTAGGTTGGTATACAGAAAAAAATAGTGCAGAGTACTCCATTTCTGTATCTGTTTGGTTTCATAAGGTATGTACTTGTAGCTGTTGTTAAGTGCTATGTTTTAGAAGTGCTTCAGATTCTTTGAAATTGGAAGTGATTCGTTGTTATATTCTAAATAGGTATCAATCCCTCTATTTCTATATACATAAGCTGTTGATTTAAAAAATATTATTTAGTTTTTATCACCCATCGAAATGTATGTCTGTGTTTAATTGTTGGTAGGCTAAAGCTGGTTCGCTGTGCCAATGCTAAAGGGAGGTAATTCAATGTTTAAAGAGGAACCAGTTTGTCCTTACTCTGGAATATCATAATTTGAAAACTGCTTTCTTCTTCAGGTCATGTGTTTTTATTCCAAACCTCTGAAATACTGATTATATTTCAAGGGGATTAGGAAAATATTACAAAATATGCTGCGATCTTTATCATTATGAATTATTTATATAAATCTTGTACCATCCGCATCATTACATATTATTTAATTAATTATACTATCATTTATAAGATGTTGTATAAATTTAAATGGTATATTTTTGTTTTTAGAAAAAGATATTTTCACATTTCGAGAAATACACATAACTTTAAGGAACAGCCAAACATAACGAATGTAATTTTGATATCATAAAAGACACGTCATCACAGTCGGGGAGTTTTTATGCACCTCTGATCTTTCCTTAATGATTTGGATAAGAATAAACCTTTATTTCTTTATCAATTTGAAATGAAGTTAATTTATTTATGTACAGAAGGCAAAAGAATGATCCGTCCTCACATCGATACAATATTAGATTAGACACTAACAATGAAAGTTTATCTAAATTCGAATTTACTTTAAAATAGTGAAGTATCTGATTTTAGAATTACACCACTTTTCTCTGGAGGCAAATCAAAAGTTGATAATGGACCTTTTAATTTTTACTAATTTTGAGTGTCTGTGGTAAAAATGATAGATCAGAACAGATACACTGTTTAGCAATCCCTCCGTTTTTAAGTCTCAAAGATTTTATTATGACCATGCCATGTTGATTTAATTTTTTGTTAATTTTCATTTTCATTTTTGAAATTGAATCTTCTTTTTTTTGATGGAATGAACAATTTTACGATGATTTGATTTTCTGCGATGTAAAATTGATATGCTGATATCATGTCAAAATGAAGTATGTGCGCATGTACCTGAACTACGGTACATAGCTTTTTGTTATCAGACCACATCATTGTTATCACCTTTTGGTACACTGTGTACTCTAGCTTAGGTTCATTCTGTTATCATCTTTCTGTTTTGTTTATATACTTCGTTTTAATACCTCAAATTATCCTATGGACCATATATTTATGTTCTAAGCATCCTTGACCTCTTTAAGAAAAGTGTTCAATTTGAAATAGTTAAAATAGTGTATGCTAACTACTGCGAAAAAAAGATTGATTTGTCTATGAAAACAACTGCTAAAAAATACATAGGGCATGCAGCTAAAAATACTGAGCAGTACAAGCTGACTAACCCACAACACATGCTTTTTTTTCTCAGTCAGGTGAAAAAACTTAACATTGGTGCATGCTGACTATTGCAAAATTATGCAATTTCCACAATAACATCTGTAATACGTTCTATATGATTGTATAAAGTTCACTACAACATTTGTTACGGAAAGTGTAAACACAAAATTGTGTCGGGGTATAATGACATGTACTATAAAAGGATACAGTTGTGTTGGGGATGTACTTGTTATCTGTATCTGATACAAGTACTCATTATCCTAACCTATTGGACTTTGATCAGCAACAATCTGGAGGACAATACAAGTGTAATACGTGATATAAGAGTAAACATCGAACAGGTTCTTATGTGTATACGAAATATTTTTAATAGCCAGTTGGTCCATTGACATTTTTTCTGTGAGATTTGTTTGAATTTCCTATCAAGAAATGCTGATGATGGTTTAGTTACACTGATATGTACATGTTTGAGAAAAGATAAATTCTCTTACTACAGAAATTATATTAATGGAGCATGTTAAATATTATATTTTATACAAACACAGATTACTCTTGTGCGGACGGCCAATTTACTGACCAATATATATATTGGTGGGGTGTGGGTGGAGATTTTCTAGGCAGTACAGCCTTGTTGTGCAGCTTATGAAGACTGCTAATCTTTTGATGTTTCTTTTTTTTGATTTTTTGGGGTGGTGCACTTGTTAAATGTATAATCTATATATTGTTTGATGTTATTGATTATTTTGTGTGAGCAGTTTTGATTATTTTATGGATCAGATCATATTTATATTAATGCGTATGAATTATGGAGACGATGTTTGGATATGTTTATTATGTTAACAGAACATGAAGTGTGGAGATGATTGTTAAAACTGTTGATTAACTGTTATTACCAAGTTGTGGAATGTCTAATACAAATTTTTTTTGCATGAGTTGGTAACCGAATTTTATACCACTAAGCCAATGTTTCACACCACGATGTATTCCTATAATGTTGTCACAGGTTCTGCCTGAATACCACATTATGCCACTGACAATCTTTAGAGTTGGTAACCATAGAAACCAAAGAACGATAACTAAGCTGACATTCTCCAGGTTGGTTCAACAACCTATCACAGTCCTAGAAGGTCAGTTTGGTAACCCCCATATGTACAAATTATTTACCATATTTATCCGAGATTCTTACTTTCACATATCTTGCTTGGAAAATTTCTGTCTTATTAGCATATGTTTAACTAAAAGTTGAATTTATCAAAGAAAATATTGAAAATGTCAAGAATGAGAGGTGTTGATTTAATATGCTAGTCCCACCGTATCAATGAGTAATTACATACTGGCTTCTATAATAGGCTTGCTGCTACCCCACTGATCATCAGGGTATATTGCTAAACAGTATTCGATATATTGCTAAACAGCAGTCGATATAATGCTAAACAGCAGTCGATATAATGCTAAACAGCAGTTGATATAATGCTAAACAGCAGTCGATATAATGCTACACAGCAGTCGATATAATGCTTAACAGCAGTCATTATAGCAGTCGATATAATTCTAAACAGCAGTCGATATAATGCTAAACAGCAGTCAATATAATGCTACACAGCAGTCGATATAATGCTTAACAGCAGTCATTATAGCAGTCGATATAATGCTAAACAGCAGTCGATATAATGCTACACAGCAGTCGATATAATGCTACACAGCAGTCAATACCTGGTTTTATTTAACCAGGTTTTTTTCATTGAAAGCAGTCATATTTTGTAGTAGCATTGTTATTTATCTGATGTATATCTATAAATAATTATCATCAATGACTTGATCTAATTGACCTCGGGTGTACCTTACTGACCTTTCGTCTTAATTTCTTATTTACCTTTCTGAACATTTGTTTACTGACTTTGGTTTGCCAGACTGACCATAATCAATAAGCTGACTTTGATATACCCACCATATATAGTTGTCAATAACAGAATTTTAAGTGCCTGTGTATTTGTACAGTGTTTGGGTATACATATTATTTTTAATTGTATTTAAATGTTTGTTTTCCATCCAGTTAGAAATTGAAAGAAATGTGTAAAAAAAAAAAAAAAAAAAAAACGATTAAAAAAAAAAATGAAAAAAAATTTACTTTACTATAAATAAAATTAATTTATGAAATTTAAAGAATGATTGTTATAATTAGTAATTAATTAGTAATGTTGGAAATGAAAGTTTGGAAAATAATGGAAAGACATTATATTTACGGTGACATGCGGTAGATGTTTATACATTTTGTACTTCAGTTGATATGGCTGTTCAGATCAGATATTTGAGTAGATTTCTGAGTGAAATTTACATTGGTATTCCCTATTTCAGTTCATAAAGAATTTTGTTTGTTTTTCTTCTGCATCTAAAAAGAAGGACAACTTTAGGAAATATTTCATGAATTACAGTTATGAAAATTTGGATAGAACAATAGAAGAA